TGGTCAGGGTGAACAAGCAAGGTAGCATTGGAGAGATGTTCTTTGCAGGATAAGAATGCAGCATCCAATTCAGGAGTCCAATTTACAGGTTGGTTTCCACGTAGAGATGAGAGGGCATCATGGAGAGCTGCTTGTTGCTTGGCTGCTGAAGGAATGAATCTGCGGTAGAAATTCAACATGCCGAGAAAACGACGCAAACCTTTTGCAGTAGAGGGACGGGTGAATTGTTGCAGAGCCTCAACACGTTCAGGAAGTGGTCGAGTACCAGCAGATGATACCTCATATCCTAGGAAGGTAACCTTTGGAGCTTTCAAAACAGTCTTATTTACGTTAACGAGTATGCCATAATCAGAAAACCGATTGAATAGAGTTCGTAGATGGGCTTCATGTTCAGTCTCATCCTTAGAGAAAACTAAGACGTCATCTATATAAGGAAAGCAGAAGTCTAAACCAAAAACTACTTCATCGATGAAACGCTGAAAAGTTTGTCCTGCGTTGCGGAGGCCAAAGGACATGAAGGGGAATTCAAACAATCCAAAGGGGGTTGTAATGGCTGTCTTCGGGATGTCTTCAGGGTTGACAGGGATTTGTGTGTAGGCCTTCACTAGGTCGATCACAGAGAAATACTTGCAACCTCTGAGAGAATGGGTGAAATCGTGGATATGTCTAACAGGATATCTGTCAGGAATAGTCCTAGCGTTGAGAGCACGGTAGTCTCCACAGGGGCGCCATCCATCAGGTTTCTTAGGGACCATGTGAAGGGGTGATGACCAAGGTCCATCAGATCGACGTGCAGTACCATCGGTGAGCATGGCATCAAACTCGGCTTTGGCTATAACAAGCCGATCAGGAGCGAGTCGACGTGGACGAGATGAAACTGGGGGGCCAGGGGTCGTTTTGATGAAATGCAAGGTTGAATGGAGCACTTTTCTTGGTGTACCAGAGGGTCGGGTAATCATGGGAAATTCTGCCAGTATTGATGAAGTTGAAGAATTGGGTGTGATAGTTTTGATGCTGAAATGAGGGATTGAGGTACATTGACAAAGAACAGAAAGGTTTGTTACACTGTCAATCAACCGTTGATTACGACAGTCAGGAAGCAATCCAAAGTGTGCTAAAAAGTCAGAGCCTATAATCGCTGTATTAACATCAGCAATGACAAAATTCCATGTAAAAGCTCGTCTCAGCCCTAAGTTTAATGTTAATGTCATCATACCGTAGGTGTGAATGGCAGAGTTGTTTGCTGCACGAAGTTCATATTCAATACGCTTTTGGTTCTTACAAACAAATGATTTAGGGAGACAGCATATGTCAGATCCAGTGTCAATTAAAAATTTTGTATTGGTAGTCCGGTCGATGATTTGTAGGCGGCGCCCTCCAGCTTGGCAGTCAGCTGACGCCATCACTGGCTGCCTTTGGAGTTTGTCGGAGAAGTGAAATTACATGGTGGAATGCACTTCTCAGCTTGATAGCCAAAACGCTTGTGGTACCAGCATAGATTGGTTTGCTCTGTAGTGTCAGAGGAGCTACCTGCGTGATAACGACTACTAGACAAACTCCTCTGACGTGACCTAGGTCGCCTGTCACGTAGGGAATCAACATCTTTACGCATATTTTTCATTTGCAACTCCAAAGCAGATAATTTTGATAAAACTTCAGTTAATTTTGGGTCATCAGAAAATGAAGATTTAGGATTTGGTGAATTAACGGCATTCAAAGATGTAGGCATACTAGTGAGAGAATGGCAAAAAGATGCGTTAGGTTGGACTGCTAGAATTTTGTCGGCAGTAATTGCAAGTGTGTCAGTTTGGGCACTTGTTTGGACTTGCAAAATACTTTGTATATGAGCAGGAAGTCTCTGCATCCAAATAGTTTTCAGTAAACTATCTTGGATTGTGGTCGAACCTACTAGTGATCGAAGGTGGCGTAGGAACTGAGAAGGAGTTTTGTCACCTAGTTCCTCCTCCATCAATAGCTGACGAATGCGTTGCTCCTCAGATAGAGACAACCGTCTGATTATTTCAGACTTAAGCGTAGAGTAAGGAGTTTCAACAGGTGGATCTATTATAAGATCCTCCACTTCATTAGCATAGCGCTCATCAAGATGTGAAATTACATACGAGTATTTAGTTGTTTCACTCGTGATGTGAGCCAGTGTAAACTGAGCCTCAACTTGGGCAAACCAGAGCCTTGGTTTCTCTTTCCAGAATGGTGGAAGTTTTATGCTTACCCGGTGGATGTGATGATCTTCATGTCGTTCGTCGGAATGGGCTGTATGATCTGGCTGATGCTGTGGTAGAACTGGTGGAAGATCAGGTAGGTTGGCTTCTTGAGGATGTACAGAAATGTGATTTTGTTCTTGTCTTCCATTCAAATCTTGAAGTTGTCTTTGTAGGTTGGCATTCTCACTCTCTAATTGAGCTAGGCGCTCCAAAAGTTCTTGGTCCATGGCGTAAAACGATAATTTGGAGAAAGGTGAAAAATAAATGAAGTTTTGGTAGAAGGTTGAAATTTAGTGTAGGAAAAACATCAATTTAGTTTGAAATAATTTACTTGTTAGTCGGGGTCACCATTTCTAGCGGATAGACGCACTAAAACAAATCATTCTAGTAAAAGGTCATTTAATTTACAGAGAATAGTTAAGTAGTGTAATCCACTAGATTCAAATCAGAAAAACTGTTGTTAAAACTGTTGTTACCTAGGTTGCTAGGACAACAAAAAAATAAACAAATGATTAAAGTAAATACAGAACACATGGTTATTGTGTTAGACAGTTTAGTGGCACCACATGTGTAATTTTTTACAAAATCACCTAAAATGTGATTTTAAGTTATGTTTTCCCCTCAATGACTTATGTTGTGTCATAGTCAGCTGGCCAACAATGGACCTTTCGAGACCAACTGAGTATGACTTTTGACGAATCAAACAAACTAACCGTAGTATCAAAATGACTAGTGTGAAAGTAAAAGCAAATTGTGTCCTTTGGTTTCATGAAAGCAGATCTGTAATAGGCCTAACATTTTGAAGAAAGCTCCATTTAGAGTATGGCCGTAATTCTCCAAGTAACAATTCTATAAAATGGTGGTACCCTACAGGTATTTTCAACGACCGGGAAGTGTTTAACATGTAGTCTAAAAGGTCCTCACCTCAGAAAAAAACATAACTTACCAATAACAGTTGAGGTGATTTTTACGGACTTTTTAAAATGACTTTCTATAGTTACTGAACTTTGTATAATTATATTTTTGGCAGTTAGTGGATAAAACTGCTTTAAGTTTGCTATTTAGTGAAACCATTCCCATATTTCTAAGTTGTTTGGTTATTTATTTATTCAATCTTAAATGTGTCCAACAATTTATGACCACTCTGTATTATCCACTAATAGTTAAACCTGTGCATTGCTACAAGTCCTTTAAACCTGCCGCAAAAACCTCTAGTATAGGAATTATTTTACAGTTTTCTATATACACTTTGAATATTATAGAAGTCCGATTTACATGTAGGCGTATAGTAATCATTTAGGTGTGTGTAAGCGTAGTAGTTCAACATATTTCACATTTCCTGGAAATGCAAATCCTTTCCGCTAAGAATAAATAACTTAAGTATGAATCTAAAAGGCTTAATTTCAACTATCAATGTGTTGCCAACAGTTGAACTGTATAGACCAAAATCTGTGTGTTCCAAATTTTGACCAGGTGGTCCTAGTCAATAACTAATTAACTATACCTATACAACACTGCTTTTAATTACACACCAGCGTTTGTTGGTGTCGTGAACAATCTGAATGATTTTAGGTTAAAAGTATACTTAGAGCACAAGTACAACCAGATTTGAATGAGACTGAAAAAAGTCCTCTACAGAATATTAACATAAGGCCTATTTACATCCCAAGTAGATTACATTTAAGAGACTGTAAGTATACTACCACAGTTCTTTTAGATCTTAAATATTTTAGTACAGTAAAACCTTCTACAACATTCAAATAGTAGAAGGTAGAAGTAACTTTGCAAAACATCGTTTCCTTGTTTTTACCTAACGTGGGAACTCATCAAACCTCTCTCTAATGAGTTGTTAGGTCGACTTGTGGAGTGAAAGTTGCACTGTAAATGAGGAACAGTGTAAGTGGCATTTAATCAAAACCATAGACAGGACATTCCACGTGTGTTTGTAGAATGTACTATGTGGAAGAAAGTCACATAGAAAGTTGACAGTCCGATGACCTCTTGCCCCACTGAGCTAGCTCAGGGACTCTATGTACCCCTTCCACTCCCCACACACCTCTCTATGTCCAATATTATAGCCTTGGATTATGTCAAGGTTTGGTTATACATTAGTTTGACTGAATTCTTGCTTATTTGAAGTGTGCACACTACTTTAAACTTGTCACTAATACCATCCACAAGTTTTAGATTATGTTCAGTTTTTTTTAAGTTGAAATAATATTGGTATACTGTATACCGGTAGTGTTAAAGTATTTCAATGTTTTCTGAAATATTTAATTTCTGATTTGAGATATTTGGGCCCTTGATGCTTTGGAAGTGTTTTTAAACTTCCTCAGATCAGAATTTCGCAATACTTGACCATTAAATATAGTATTGTACTAGTTTACATTTATAAAATACCTTTTTTGTTTAAAGTAAGGAAACTTTTTCAATTATACTGCTTAGTTTATTTGGTAGTTTGAAGTTAACTGTAGGAAAATATAAATTATTTTCATTCATTTGACACTCTGTTCTTAGTGTTGTGTAGGAGATTTTACCATAGAACTGGAAAAACAGCTTAACATTATAAGAGGCAATTCTCACATTACTACAAAGTATGCTGTGTATTGTTTTGATGTTTGTTGTTGTTGTTGTTTGTTAATGGAAGCACAATAAATTCTCTATGGAACAAGAGGGTTTACAAGGGACGATCTAGAAGAAGGTACACAAGTTTTATTTACTGTACCTCAATCAATTGGTAGAAAAAATACCTATTAACTGATATAATAATTTAAGTCATTAAATTTACTTTTCTTTTATTTGTGGCAGAAAATGTATATTGTAAGGTTTACAAATGTTAATGGCAATACTTTTGCTTTGGGTCCCTGCTTTATTTCCACCTATGGGGGGAAGAGTTCCAATAGTTTTAGACTTTATGTCTGGAACCTTTATTGGTATTTTTGTTGAATTAACTACTTCAGTCTGATCATTACGTTTCTGCTGGATTTGAGGACGGTCCAATAGTCTTCTCTTGGGAAGTAACTGCAGGTTGTTAGGTTTACTTTTACTCTGAGTTGCAGATATTGTTTTTGCCGTTGTCTCTGGACCCCAAGAACTAGTTACTAATTTTCCTGGCTTCTTAGATGATGATACATTCATTATATTGAATCTAGGTTTTGTTTTAACATTAAACTTATTTAGTTGTTGTATACTGTAAGGCTTCGGAACGTACGGATTCAGCTCTGCTAGTTGCTTTTTATATTCTTTCTCTCTGAACTCGCAAAAATATTTGTGATCTACAAGCCTGTGAACGTTAGAACGAATGTCAGGATCGTAAGTTAGCATTTTTTTAAGTAAATCTCTCGCAGTTTCTGTCGTAAAAGGTAATAAACATTTGAAGTTGATACCTTGTAATGCAGGGAACTTAACCTGTGCAACTCTTGATTGTGGGTGTCGCATTTTCAACAGAACTCTGGGAGAAGGAGTTCCAGTCACTTTGTGAATGGTGTTCAACTGGTCGATTTCATCTTCTCCGGGAAAAAGTGGCTTTTGTTGGAATAGTTCATAAAACACACAACCACAAGCCCAAATGTCCATTTTCTCTCCATAAGTTCCATTACCTAAAATGCACTCAGGACTTCTATACCATCTCGTAGAAATATAATCTGTATACGGCTGCGGACTACAAATACACCGAACGGAACCCAAGTCAGCTATCTTTACATTTGACTTCTTGATCAATATGTTTTCTGGTTTGATATCTCTGTGAAACACGCCATGAGAGTGAAGGTGATCAACTCCTTTTAGAATCTGGTAGAAGAGATGTTTCACTTTCGCTTCAGACATGGATCGTTTTCTTTGATGAATGAGGTCGTAAAGGTTCATCTCCATCAGCTCGAAAATCATGTAGAGCTTTCCTATTCCAGGATCAAATATATCCTCCACCAAAGTGAGCACATTGGGATGGGATGGCAAACTACGGAGCACCGCTATTTCAGAAAGTCTGTGAGCTTCTCTAAAAGAGTGGTAATCCTTCTTGAGTCTTTTTACCGCAAATCCTTGGCCAGTGCTGGTTTCACTACATTTGAAAACCTCTGCAAAAGTCCCTTCTCCTATCTTTTCCAAAATTTGAAACCTAGAGTTGAAATTACTCATTATAAACAAACAAACTCTGTATTATAATTTTGGTCATTTTCAGTAGAATTGTTGTATTCTATTATTTAAACTATATATATAACAAATAATTTCAGATTAATTAAATATAATAAGATATGCTTCAAAATAAACATGTTTAAAGGTTATTTTCCATTTGTAAACAGTCAACAAAGAATGTACAGCTGACTTAATGATATTAGTTCTGTTTGAATCATTGACTATTGATGCTTCACAGTGACATGGGTACAGTCAATTGATTTTACCCAATACTTTTTTAAATAATGTTTTTATTTGTAGATATTTAGACATATGTTGTTTGATATTTATTGCAATTAAAGTATACTTTTTCATTTCAGATAATGTTTTATTTCAGTGTAATTTTTACTTTGCCATAGTATTAAATTAAAGGGGAGTATGTTTTATCTATGATTAAAGCCAGAGAAAATAATGATAAAGAAAATGTTTTTGTATTGGCAGGTAATAATTTCATGGTACACACAATAAGATGCATTACAAAAGTGATTGAAGGCAAGTGAGGAAGATTAAATTGATTAATATAATTGTTTAGTACAGGTTTATGTTGTCACTTTATTTACAGGCATTTTCCTAAATTATTTTGACTAAATGGAACTAAACTATATAGCCTAATCCTTATTACTTGAAGTTTTTAAAAGTAGTACGCTTTGATGACCCTGAGTAAAAACCACAAGGTGGAATCGATTTCCCAGTCGGCTAACTTCTTCCCACAATGAGCCTTTGGCAAAAAGGTTTCCTGTCCGGTGGGCGATATGATTGGTCTCAGTCGGCTAACTGAGCAGATGAGGTCAACTTGTCACCTTACCTATCCTTTTTTGTCTCAACCATATCTTTGCAAAGTCTTTTGTTGTTTTGGAACTGTCTCAGATCAGATCTTTATGTTTATGTATTCTGGAATTATTTTATTAACATGATCACTATGTCTGATCTGTTGTAAAACTCTACCAAATATATGTTGGGGAGTGTTTTTCGAAAGAGTGTACTACATATTTTTTAATATAATTAATATAAGAATATGTAGTACGGTATTACGAGTTAATAAAATATTCTATTCCCTGGGTGATTCACTTTCCATCTTCTGTTGTTCTGTCAATAATCAATTTGGCATAATTTAATCCATATTAGAAAAAATGTTGCTTTTGCAAAATACTTTTCCTATCAATTTGCTAATTAGAGGATTGTTGTAGCCATTTTAACATCAATTAGTAGTGAATTTGGAAATGAAAATTGGACTGAAAGTTTTGCAATAATAGAATCTGTATTTTACTGATCATTAATGGAAAATGTCCTCTAATTCTTTGAGGATCTAAAAAACTCAACTTTACAAACGATTAAAAAGATGATGTATATGATTAAAAAGATTTGATTTGTTTGAATTATAATAATTTTTGTTTGGATATTTTGACATGTTCAAAGTGTTGGTAATGTGTTTGGTAAGGAAACTAGTCAGCATCATTTTGTTGATGTTCTCTGCAGAAAAACTTTTTTTTGTTCAGTAAGAAAAACTATTTGTCATACAAAATATAGGGGCTATAAAATTTATTGTTAAGGAAAGTAATTTCTAGTTTGTCATTCCTTTTACTTACTTTTTGATTTTTAAACAAAAACAATAATTATTAAACTATTATAAACTGTATGAGTCTAAGACTTTCTATTTTACTTTCACAAAAAATAGACAAACCTCCTCTGAAATACTTGTAATTGTTTCATTTCCTCAATTAGACAGTTTCATTTCCATCCTCACGCCTTGCGAGACTAAATGTGTAATCAAGTGTAAGTCTGGTAAACTAATTAACGGTTACATAAAGTCCATATAATCAACACTAACACGTAACCATGTGTTCGCACTGTAACTATTTGCGGTCTCAATGACTAATTATTGACTGGTTTCATGTGAGTGACCAGATGCCAGATCAGTCAAGATACAAATAACTAATAAGCCAGAAACAAATAACTTTTCTTATCAATAATTTAATTTAAAAAAAATGTATTTTTAGTACTGGGCAGTGATTTAACTCGTGAAAAGGGGTATTTCAATAATGTATCTTTAAATGGAAACCTTTTCAAACAAACATGCTGGAGAAGTTTTTTTAAGACAGTTAATCAAACACATTATCATATTTTTATAGTTACTTCAGGTTCTTTTATTTGTAAAATTTGGAAGATGCATTATTTGTGATGCAACTATTTACTGAACTGATACAGTTATTTTTGTTTTTGTCAAATCAAATGATGACAATAAAAATAACCTGTAACAGTTGTTTTTGGTAACTACCGCTACAAAAAGGTGTTGCCGATAGCATGGGAACTTTCAAGGGACCAATTCCAATCGATTTCTAGTGGCCAAATAACCCATCAATAAAAAAAATAAAACAAAAATAAAAGTTTGCCTGTACACACGCTTTTTTATAATATAGGATCATACAAACTTTTGTAACAATATACCTAGTAGGGCTTTTTTACTATCCCAATTTTGAAATTCGGTGGTCTTTTTCATAAACCATTTTCCCCTTTAGGTTCCACCTTGTAAGGTTGTACTTGTGTGTATGTAAGGAACGATAATTAGTCACATCTTCATCTTTGAAGCTGTATTTTCAACATACCAATTCCGTATGCAATTCAAGAGTACAGTATTGTTTATTGAACGTTTGAAATCCCTCTGCAAAATAATAAAATTACAATTTGCTATAAAATATTTCCTTGTTATCCAGTTTAGTTTGAACAAATACGAAAGCAACTTCATGAACTGACTACCGCTATCCATCATTCCAACAGTAGTAGCATAGCAGCGTGCTGAAGATCCACCCTAGTTCCCATAATCCACTGTACTCGCAGTACTCATGCGCAGATCCCGTTTCTCGTCACCACGCCGGCGCTGTCTTGAGCGGCCCCATTATCAGCGGTGTTGCCACTTCTCCTCGGCAAGAATGTGTTCGACGTGGCAACGCCGCTTTCTCGCGGCACCGAGATTCAGTCTTGACACTACAGTGTTGTCGAGTGCCGCGCCGCGTCGCGTCGTGAGTGTTTTTCGTGCGTTTTGTGAATCGCGATCCGTTTTCCGCGAAGTTCGATCCTTGTGATTTGTGTTACATTGCTCATTGTGTTTTGTGATTCCCTCATTTTGGATTAATAGTTTCTACCGAATTTTGGTAAGCGTTTCGACTAGTGTTTGTTTACATGTTCGATTTACTATAACTGTTTATTCATAACTGGTTTTTCCTACACTTATCCTTTTAAAGTCATTATTTGTTTTCTAAGAATCTAGATTTTGTCTTAAAATGTTTAATAATTCTAAACATTGTTATGTTATTACTTAATTTTGGTTTAATATTGATCTTTTCTGATACGGCAGCCGGATTCTACACGTGTGTATCCTTGAAGCACATCCATGACATTTTTCGATTGGCGCCCAAAAGTGTCATTGCTGCATGGTTTTCTGCGCGATTTTATTATTATGGTTTGTTAAATTTGCAGTTTTTATTTACGACAACCAAGTAGCCTAATTATTTTACTCATATGGAAAATGTTCTACACATTCAATTGTTTTTTACATTTTGAACAGACTATCATGCAATCTCAGATAGCCTACAATTGGCAACGTCAACAAAAAATTGAACTGAACAATTAAATACCGGGATGACATTTAAAACAATCACATTGGACATACTTTGGCAGGAACCACTTAAAACGTTTTTTTTCTTCTGTCAATTTAATGGGAGGGTAGATTTTTGTAAGACCTTTTGTACATTTCATTTGAGAATTTTACAGCGCCTTCTTTCGCGATATTTGTACCAAACCTATGGCATTTGTTTAGGCAAAAGGCGATAGTGTCGAATATCTTTGTTGTTGATACATGATGATTAAATAATTATACTGATTAAATAATTTTGTTTTTAAGGGTTGACCTTTTCCGAAGAAAATCTGATTTCGTTCCGTGTGGTTTTGTATTAATGTTGTGTTATGGTTCCCGTGTAATTATTTAGCCTACTCAAGATACATTCCCATCACTTCATACGGCTTTTCAAAATGTAAAAAAAAATATTTATTTATTTATTTTCCAACGGCAAAAGTTAATTTCTACAGTTTTTTTTTTTCAATACGGTTGAAGATATGTAGTATATATGAAATCTAAAATAGGTGTTCGCCAAAGTTTCAATTTATTGTTGTTAATTGATGTTAATTCAGGACACAATTATAAACAATAAGTTTTACAGAAGGTTAATTGGAAGTGAAGTGACATTATTTGGTTTAAGTATTATTGCAAGGACAATGAGTCCTGCTCTCGTGGATTGTGAAAATATCCACAAAATTAAAATTTATTCTTATTCACCTACTCTATTCGATCTATGTGAAGAGGTATTCGTTTTTGTTAGATAGTGACCTATCCATTGCAAACAGCTACTTACCATACTGTTTATCAAATGTAAAAACACATCGTTTCGGAGATAACCTCAGATTTGTGTAGGCTGTCATTAACAATGTACACATAACAATGTGTCTTTCTTTAGGCATTTCTAGTTTTGACATGGAATTGGTTGGTTAATATCTCAAAATTCTTTATTACCTCCTCTTAATTTTTACCGTTCGAAATTTGTTGTTCCACTTAATTTTTTTTATCATGATGAGATTACTGTAAAGAAATTTGACATTGGTAGATTAGTAGGCCAGAGGAAATATATGGGAACGCAAATATACTACAAGCTTTTCTTGCATGACGTTTATTAACACGCATTTTGATCTACTACAAAAACTTAAGATATACAACTATTTTTGAAGATAGCTCTATAGTTCGTCATACAATATGTATTTTTGTTCCTTAGATGTTATTCTCCTTCAAATAGCTCCCAGAAAGTTGATGTTTTTCTGTATTTTCGACTGCATTCCTCACAGTGACAGTACTGCAGGTGTTTCGTCACAGCTGATAAACAAACAATGAGTCACCATTATCAGGTGTAACCGTGTCAACAGCTGTTTACCAGTTGGCTGCATCGCTTGACACGCGTCGCGCGCGGGAACAACACGTTCACGCTTCCGGATCCGCTCTCCATCCGGCATCCGGACCGAGATCATCCGGATCCGGCAGTGGATTGATCTGTCAGTTGACATCTGTCACATATTGAGGGGAAATTTGGAATTTTAACTAAACGACAGACCTGGTATTTCGACAGACAGACGTTCGAACATAAAGATAACTATCAACGCTCAAACAACGTATAATGTAATCAATTCAGCAATAGTTTGCTGAAAAATATTTCCCTAACGTGAGTTCAAATTTCCACAAATTAAACTTATATTTGCGACGAAACTTTTCCATACTTGGTTTTAGTACAGTCATGATGAGTAACTCATAATATCGTAATTCAATATTGTAAATTGGTGAAATCCGTTGGCAATAAATAAATAAATAATTGATTATACACTTACGGTTTAGGATACATAGTTCAAAATTACATATTTCATGAAAAAGCATATCCTTTGCAGTATGAAAAAACTAGATTTCGTAAAAACTTGTATATGCCTACAGACAATTAATATTTTTGTAAAAAGCTTGTAACATAACAATTAAGTGACAGTTTGAACCCAGCTTTTAGTTAAACTAAATAACATGAAAATGGTATTAGGCTATATCAAAAGCTAGTCTAGAATGTTAGTGTCGGCTGCTAGACTTTTTTTTAAATTAAAACTTAATTTCTGAAAGACTGAAACCCTAAACCAAAATTATGGCATGGACATTCCTTAGTTCTCAAAATTATCTTTCTTTCAACAAAAAATCACAAAAATCCGTCAGGTGGTTGATTCAGAATCGTTAAATAAAAAACCCTGTCACGTTTTAATATATACTAGCTGTAGGCCCGTCCTACGTACGGGAATCACGTAGTTGATTAAAACTGAATATAATTCAGAACAGATAATACACACATAAAGAAGAATTCTGGCCGTTTTAATAGGAGTATGTAAGAGTAGACGTGGAAAATTCGTAGTAGTATAGAGGCGCGCCAGAGATAGCAAGTATAGACACAGTCAATATAGGTTTTATGTTGGAAGTGATTCTGGGAAAGCTGGATTTTTCTATGCTGTTAGATCATGTTGAGATGAGCATTTTCCCTAAAGTCCCCACTCCTCCCCCTTGTGCCCCCTTTTTCGATAAATTTACAGTCTCTTAGAAATTGTGACCACCTCAGAAATGTTACATCATTGATTTTTTTCATCTACTAGACATTCCCAACGATAATCAAAAGTCAAATTTAGTCAGGGTTTTTCATTGCATAGACCTACTCAAACCGTTTAATCCCTGGACTACATACTGTTTAACTAACAATATCTTTTGGACAATCTAAGATAACCAAACATTAGTTTATTTTGCTATGTATTTTTCTTAATGAATTTTATCGGCCTCCATGAAGTGACATTGTACGGTTTCAGCTTTGTGGTTTGCAATCGAGTCAACTGAAGTAGAAATAGAAACAATTGAACAGTAACCAGTTGTAGGATGTTGTACTGTAGGAGTCTGGTTTGTCGCAACACAGGATGAGAAGAGTAGGATGAGTGTGGGATAATCATGATATTGATATGAGGTGTCGGCTCTTATTACCATAGCCTGTCTCACCTCGCATTCCTCTATTATTGAATGAAACAGCTTGTATTTTATGGATCTCTAACCACTTTTATAGTGGAACATTAGCACCAGTAATGGATATTTAAATTGGCAAAATTGTGGTAAAATGTACGTATTAGGACACAATTAAAAGTTTTTCCAATATTTTGTTTGTTTTTTGAACCCTCGTGTTTAAGATTAATTTTTACTGATATGCAGACTATAAATTTGATTGGAAATATCATGCTTATGGGCCAAAACAATTAAACGGATTATGAGGACTATATTTGTGTTTTTTTTTTTTTTTTTTTTATGGGATCACACGACATTGACAACAGTTGTAACTAGTCCTGGTGAATGGAAATTTAAATCAAAGTAGGTACTGTACAGTAGTTTTGTGCCTTCTTTCTTCTTTGACCTAGATTAAATGTCATAAAAATCCGACTGATTGTGAACTAGTAATATTTTTTTTCAAATGTATACATAGACAAATCAGACAAAGCCTCTAACTGAAACATTTTTATGATTAAAATACTTTCTCCATGATTATATACACGCTTATAAAATTAAACATAACCATCCATAGAACACAATGGTAGCATTGTTTTAGTGACAGTGGCAGATTTTCAACTAAGTGTAAATATCCCATATAGCTTGGGTTCATTTACAAATGCAAACCAGTGTTGTCCTTCAATGAATTACACATATGCCTTCTGACTATCAACTAGTTTAAAGGTTATTTTAATTCTGAGTCATGATGTTCTAGTAGTTTTCCAATGAGTAAGTTTGCGTCATGATCGTTTTTGCAGAGTGAGCAGATGTACAGAATGTCTACTCGCTTGTTCTTTTAATATTTGATTATTATTCACTTTTTATAGTATTCAAGCTGATGGATCAACAAGAGATTACAATAATGTCGTAACTCTGATTATCCAAATGAAAATATGATGAGAAAACTATAAATTCAATACTGTATGAATTTGTATTTGTTTGTATACTGTTGTTCAAGCCATGTAACCCCGATGACTCACCCATGGGTCAGGAGCCTTGAGTGGGTCAGACCATTTGTGACACCTCACCCGCGGGTGGGTGGGTGTGTCCCCGGGTGTGGGTGTGTCCAATGGTCCACTCCTGTACAACAATTGCCCAACACATAAATAGACTGATTTTATCAAAGCTATGAAATAGAGTGTTCTATTTTTAGTAACACAGTTAGGCCTACTACAACTTCCCATAGTATTAGTCAATCAATAACCGAATGGTTTTTATTTGTGTATTTTCATTGCCATTGACATTATATGTTATTTTGTAAGGAACTAAATCCTGCTCTTGTTAAAATCTAATGTTAGCCGTTTGATAAAAAAACATTATACATTGATAGTCACAATTGTTACAAGAGTTGTTATTTTAACAATCCCCAAATGACACCTTAGATTAGTAGTATACAAATATAAAACCGTGTAACAAAACCACAAACAAATAATAACCTGCAAAACTACTCATATTCTTATTGTTAATACAGAATTACCTGTTTTGATAGGTGCACACAGTGTGTACAGCAGTACAGTGCATGCTCTAATCTTGCACACAGGATGTATTACTGCCGCAATTTTGGATGGTAGAACGTTTCAGTTTAGTGTAGTTGAATAAAGACATATAGTTAAATTTCTTTGATCATTGACTAGTTAAAATTGAAACAATTTAGAGAATAATGTAAGAACAAGAGGAATCAAACAATTTTTAAAAAAATTATAAAGAAATTTAATTGGATTATGAAATGATAAAACTACCGGTACCTACATTAATTGGTATTCCGTGCACTAGTTCATTCAACTGTTTGAGGAAGTGATGAAAAGCTGAAGTAACAAATAACTTGATGCTTGGTTGGGTTCATGTTGCAAAATGCTGTTATGCTGTTGTGAAACCTTGTATGCAATGTTTTGCCAGTGATGCGAAACGTCTCATTTTGCTGCTATGTATTTGCGAATTGTATTATTGTTTGTTCAAAAGGTGTTTGACACATGGACTGAGAAACGAGTTGTTTTCTTGGGCCTTGTTCGAATAAAGATCTCAAATGATTTGTCAATAGTGTTTTAGTATTTTTTTAAATTCGTCACTTGCTGGAAAGTTCAGTAGAACCACAAAATTGTTTTCACCATTTTGTTACCTACTTTGTTAAATTGTCGGTTACGTTTGCTGGAATTTTATGGTAGTATGAGAAGCTAGTAGTACCGTGGCTTTGCATTGGGGTAACAAGAAAGAAGAAAGGTGTAATTCTTTAATATGAAATTGTAGGGATATCTAATAGAACATTATCTCAAAATCCTACAACTCAGATGGTTAGCTTATTGCATGAAAGAGAAAACATTCATTGGATTTTATTTAGACTCTAGCAGTGTCTCTATTGTTTGTTACTGTATTTAGTGTTTACACCTCAAGAAACCAATGTAGGTAATAAATAGCTTCCCTATTAGGTAATGAATAATAATATTAGTATAATTAGGTAGGTAGTAAATAAAACCAAATAAATAGCTTCCCTATGCAGTTGCAAGAATTTCTCATCATTCATAGATTGTGAACCCTTACACCCACAAGCCTTCTAGGCCTGGGAAAAGTGGCCTTGTCATCACTGTTTCAATTAAGTCAAACATAAACCCACAGACTACCGGTCAATTTTATATTATTTCTTTGGTATAACTAAACATCACACCTGCACACAAAACAGAAAGACATACAAACTCCCAAAAATGTCATTCAATAAATGTTGATTCCTCTTAATATCAAAACCTAAACTAGCTCCACCCACTTTGGTGTGGTTCTAACCCATCGATATCGATGTTCTAGCCAAATAAACCTATGAACTAAATACATTGATTATTGTTTTACTCAAGCTAACCTTGGTGTTGTAGGCAGCCCGTGGCACGTGGCAGTCATGTCAGGGTCCCTGGGTGGCGGATCACCTAAGATGTCCGTCATCGGGGAGGCAGTCAGACTAGTCCCGGTGGACCAGGTCGCATCCTTTCAAATCAGTGCTCTCGGCTTCCTCAGGGAAGATGTGCACGCCAATGTCATCAGTGAGTTCTATGCTTTAATTTGTTTTGCTCTCAATATCATTTTACTTAACTAACAGACAAGGTGTGTTGGAAAAAGATATTTTGATAGATACTTTCAAGGAAAAGTAGGCTATTTAACAAGCTTACAAATACAGTGCATCCTTGATTACAAGACTCTCATAGGGATTATAAAATAAGACTTGTTATCAAGGTTGACTTAATATCGAGGTTTGCAATAACATGTGATTGGGGGTAATATAATTTCAAGGGGATTTAAAATTACCCTTGTTATGAAGGGTGTCTTGTTCTCGAGAGTCTTGTTATCGAGGTTCTACTGTTGTTTTGAAATTAGGAATACAACATGTTAGTCCATCGAAGATTTATAAACTATCCTCTATATTTTGCCGAGGTTAATATTTTTAAATGAATTTCATTTTATGCCCAAGGCAATGATGTAAGCTGAGTTCCGCATTAAACTTTGTCAAACTGTCTGAAGTTAACAACCAAGCTGTGTTTGTATGTTAGGATTGTACATAGTAGCTAAAGTACTGTGATTTTCAGGTCCCAGCAAGCGGGCAGTACCTTCCACTGTGGTGACAGAGCCTGGGGGGATCTACCGTGTTGAGTTCACCCCGGCGGAGGTGGGCAGTCACCTGGTGGAGGTGATGGTGGCGGGCGAGAAGCTCCCTGCGGGGCCACTACTGGCCAAAGTCTACAACTCTGCTCTCATCCGTGTCACTGATGTAGCTAGCGGAGTCGTCGGTCAACCTTGCCAATTCAGAGGTTAGTCTTTTGTTTTGTTTTATGAATTTCAGAAATTTAGGAATTTTTTTCTGAATGGATTTAAGTTTAGTTAACTAATTAAGTTTAATTAGTTAACTATTAATTTAACTTATTAACTTATTAATTTAGTTTAATTAACTAATGTTATGTGTCGGTAGGCCTACTATTTTTTAAATAAGATGTCTAAAAAAATCGTAATGTCTAAAAAAAATGTTAAATTTCAATGAATTTTGACTTGCCACAACAGTCATCAGTCAGTCCCAATCAGAGACTGAGAGGATAGAAATGCAAACAATACAGTTAACTATATTACACCAGAACTTGTTGGAGTTTTCCCCCTGAAACTCCTGGCAACCAATAGTATTTTAACAAAATATGACAAAAATAAAAAAACTGTTTATGTATTTGTAGCAAAAATTTAAATAAATAGTGTGATATAAAGTTTTAAGGGTGCACTCTACCTCAGCTCGGACCTCAGTATTTATGTTGCGCTATTGAACAGCGCTGCAAGATCGCTTGCAGACGGTTTTTAAGTCCTCTCAAATTACTTAGTTAACTTTAAAATGTTATGTGTAAAATACTTTAGAAAAATGTTTATTTAGAAGTATTTACCAGTCACTTCCCACTTAAAATTCTAGTATTACCAACAAATTAAAACAATACAAGCCTACAAAAATAAGAAATGAATAAATTAACATAAATATATTTTCGGTTAAGAACCAAGCCGACAATGACGGAGGTCCTAAACCCTTGCATTAGCTTGTGGCGGAGAGGTAGAGCGCACCCTTAAGACTGCTAAACACTGGACATTTAGGAAAAGTTCATGTATATTACTTTGTTTTTAGTCCATATTAACATATAATACCTGATACCTCTATTATTATGCTTGATTTTGAGCAACAAGTTAATTGTTTCGTTTTAATTTAACAAATTTAATGGAATTTAAGTTCAGTTAGATGTGTAGTCTTCAGCTAGTTAGAAAACAAATTACACAATTACATTATTTGTATCTAAAAACTAATTTTAAAACCTGCTTTATTTAGCATAATGTATTTGCCTCGTATCACCATAATGGAAGATGTCTGATTTCATGGGTTGTGTCGGGGACCAGTGTAGTTTTATGCTAAAAAGAAAGCCCAATTCTCACACTTTCCTGTTCAGTAGGTGTGACTCAGGAATACCTCCAATGGGCATTTCCCACGGCAGTTTATTTTGTTCTGCTTTTTTGTCAGTTTGAATTGGTTGTGCCCTAGATTCCCATTGTGTCAAATAGCTTCTTTGAAGTGCCGATTTATTTTATGGTTTGGTCTTTCTGTTGAAGAGTCAAAGAACATTTAAAACAATTGTTTTTTTTATTTTTATAAGAAGAGTGGGCCTATCTCATTACCTACAAATATTTGTTGCTTATAGTTGGTTGAATTAAATAACCAACTTTCACTTTTAAAAGCATACTAAAATGAAATTGAACTTTTTTTGTTTTTGCACCAAATATATCAAACTAACAAACCCTACCTTCTAATAAATACTTTTTTATCAATTTGTTTTATTATATTTTATCCTTTTGTGAATAACATAACAGAATAGTCTCTCGCGGTTTTCATCAGGTTATGAAAAGTTGTCATCTTTTACTCAGGAAGTATAAAGGCAACTTAGTAGATCATACTTACTTTTATATTTAGGTTACAAGTTCTTATACATGTTGTATCAAGCCATTTTTATTTAAACTAGCATTGTTATTGGTCCAATAATTAACAATGCACATGTTGTAGTGAAAAAAAGAGAGCAGTAAGATTTTTTCATTTCTAGACCCCATTGGTGTGTTATAACAGATTGACTACATAACAAACCATTTTAAGGGGGCAGTGAATTTTTTGGTCCATGTCCATACACCAATAACGTTAATAGATTTACAAGACATTGTTCCAACACTCTTGCGTCTCTGTTTGAGACATGCCCAAGTTGACCATTTTAAGTTACCATCTCATTCTTCTCTGACATTCTCTAGCTTAGAGTACACTGGATCATTGAGTTTAGTTGACTGTGTGTTTTTGTTTGTTGTGCAGTGGATGCCAGCCAAGCAGGAGAAGGACAGCTGGAGATCTCCATCAACGAGGGGGAGGTGCCTAACCATGTGACGGTGGTGGGGGGTGGCCGATGTCTTGTCAGCTTCACCCCTGAACACACCAAGCCACATCTCATTGACATCAAGTTCAACGGGGAAACTGTCACTGGTAAGTCTTATCACATAGATTGGCACTTGGTAACAGTAAGACAACTGGAATATGGTTGGCATTTTTGTTTGAATTGGTTGGTTTTATATTTATTACAGCTATTACCTGTTGCGGCTTCACTGATTACTCTAAGTAGATTCTCTACATAAAATTCAATATCCATCTCGTCAAGGTTGGGTTTTTATAGTTTTTAATAAATGGTCCTGTCCTGACTAATGAAACAGCTGGTCTTAGTCAGTATCAAAGCAACAAAAGGCATCTCATTTCATTATACACTATCCTTCACTCATATTTAGGTTAAAATACGGACTGAGATGGTGTCCCTATCTCAATTGATAATGATAATACTACCTAATACCTATGTTCGACAGTTCTCAATTTATCAACTTTTGTATTCATAAAAATAACACTGCAACTTTGGAAACCAAAGACAGCCCTAGTGGGGGTTTAAAAAAATAAAAATAAGGACTTGTCCATCCCTGGTATGTTTGTTGGATTCCTAAAAAATTGAATTTCAGATTTACACACAAAAATAATACTACCACTGTATTTTTTATATTAGTGGGATTTTTTTGTTGAAACTTCAATTAAATTTTCATGGGTTATCTACACATTTAAAATCAAAATCAATCCTTTCTGTTTCCAGTATGAGTAACTGATAAAATTTTGAAATACTTGATGTATGGACTTTCTATATGTGATGGATTTTCCTCTTAAGTATATGTGGATTTGGAAACACATTTTAATTACATTTAGTGTTAACTTGATTATATTAGTGTTTTATTTAGTATCTTACCAACTGTTTTAGTGAAAAAACGTTTAGTAAATGGGGTAAATGATGTTAATAAAGACTAAAGAATATTTTTTTTCAAACCTCCTTGTAATTAAAAACGTTATCCATAAACTTGCCATCACAAGATTTCTTAAATGTCAACAGAAACCAAGCCTTGCCACTACACCCAAGTTCCTCAGTGCACAAAGAACCCTAATGACTTGTAATTACGTCAGTTGTGCTAATGGCGCTAATGACAACCACACCTATCTGTGGTGTTTTCTTCTTAATTAGCTCTCCTTTCCAACCCAAACAACTGTGCAACTTGGGTGTTGCAACAACTAAACATACAAATTGCCAGAACTATGCTAAATTATGACCTATTTTATTAGTTGTCTATTGTCGGTACAAACCTTACCAGAGTTTTCAAGTTTAAAAATACAGTAGGTAATGATAAAAGGATTTTCAAGTAGTAGGATTTTAAGTAGGCTAATGTTTCCCAATTTTAGATAACACTAGTTAAATTTTAGATAGTTAAAACTGAGGGTGGATTCCCAGTTAATTACAAGTATGTTCAAAGCTAAAAAGACTTTAAGTTTTCACTAAAAGAAATCTGTGCTGACTCCAACAATTTGATGTTATTTAATGGTTCCAATAGATCTTTGTATGAGGAAATAAGAAATATAAAAAAAATTTCACAACAGTTGGGTATCGGTATTAATTTTTTAAATTTAAATTTCCAAAATTACTATATGTATACATTTTTGTATCTTATAAATTGTGAAAAAGGTTTCCACTTTTAAAGTTTAAAGGCCTATCATCTGTTCAAGATGTAGCCTTTTATACATAAGAAACATAATACTCAACTGAGATATGATTTATTTTTTTGTTTAAGAAATTATTAAACTAATTTAGGTACCAGTACCGGAATATTTTTTTTTTATTTGTGTTGGGTTCTAAGTAGTTATGCTCCCTTCCAAATTCATTCATCTAGAGAAATCTTGTCATTTCACAAACAGATCTCTCCAAGTTTTTGTTATTTTATATTGTGTTCTTATTTAATCCCACCAATGTTACCCTTTTCTCATTCTTGTCTCTGCAGTTTTAACGCAAAGTGGTCCAAATCCAGCTGGAGGCTATTTAGATTCTCTGAGTGTGTGTGTCATGTCTGAACCATATGATACAAACATGAGGGGAAGTTCCCTCTACTGTTTACCTGTCATTATAATGTAGAAAATTCTTGTTAAAATATTCACGCTAGCCAAGTGTTAATGCCCAGTAGGTATGTTCTGCCAGAATTGCAGCTATGCCCTGTCCACAGGTTTAGCCTGTTAATGCCCAGTAGGTAGACTATGTTCTGCCAGTATTGCAGCTATGCCCTGTCCACAGGTTTAGCCTGTTAATGCCCAGTAGGTAGACTATGTTCTGCCAGTATTGCAGCTATGCCCTGTCCACAGGTTTAGCCTGTTAATGCCCAGTAGGTAGACTATGTTCTGCCAGTATTGCAGCTATGCCCTGTAGGTATGTTCTGCCAGTATTGCAGCTATGCCCTGTCCACAGGTTGTCCATTTGTATGCAGCGTGTCAGACACAAGCCGAGTGTCAGTGAATCTCAGCAGTCTGGAGCTGATCCCAGTCAACCAGGTGGCCAGGTTCCACATGACTGTAGATAGCAGCGGCTCTGCTGAACTGGCCGTGGCCATCACCGGGCCATCTTGTGAACTGCCCGTCAAGGTAAGTCTAACTACCGAGTGTCAGTGAACCTCAGCAGTCTGGAGCTGATCCCAGTCAACCAGGTGGCCAGGTTCCACATGACTGTAGATAGCAGCGGCTCTGCTGAACTGGCCGTGGCCATCACCGGGCCATCTTGTGAACTGCCCGTCAAGGTAAGTCTAACTACCGAGTGTCAGTGAACCTCAGCAGTCTGGAGCTGATCCCAGTCAACCAGGTGGCCAGGTTCCACATGACTGTAGATAGCAGCGGCTCTGCTGAACTGGCCGTGGCCATCACCGGGCCATCTTGTGAACTGCCCGTCAAGGCAAGTCTAACTACCAAACCTGTAGAACTGTGCAGACAGTATACTGAACTAAACAAGGAATTGAACGTTTAATCTTAATTCTTACTAAAACTTAACCAATTGATTCATTGGTTTAGACATCCTGCAATCCGTAAAGTCCTGTATCAGGCCTGATAATTGCTGTGATTAATATTTAGTTATTCCAATCCACTAACAATGAGCACTTTCAATTATCATCTCTATTGCGCTCTTGGTGGTTCTTGGCTGGAAAAGTAGTGAAACATGATAACAATTGGCTCTTCATAACTGTCATGCTAAAGTTGGTAATAAATGCTTGTACGGTAACAGACTGTCCGTAGTGCTTGTCTTCACCTCAATGTGTATTGTTTGACAGGTAACTGGTAATGTGCACAGTGGGTTCACGGCAGAGTTCACACCACGAGAGGTTGGTCCACACTCCATTTCTGTGGAGTACAACGGCCATCCTGTCTCAGGAACTCCGTTCATCGCCAAGGCGTATGATGCCAAGAAGGTGTACGTTGGACCTCTGCCACAAGGACATGTGGGGAAACCCCTTCAGTTCACTGGTACGAATGTGTCAAAATTGAAATTAGCCGTAGAAAGCCAATCAAGAGAAAAACAAATGGCTGGTTTAATGGTTTTTAAAAAGTAGAGCTCAGATAGCTTGCCTTAATTAATCATCAATCAATCAATCAACAATGTTTATTAGCACAAAAAGATAACAGTCTTAAAAATATTTAGTAATAATAACAACAAATATTATATTATAAAATTGAATGCCAAAGGCTTAGGAATGAAAGGCACTTATTTTGTCCCAGTATAGGACTTCTCCTGAGAGTAAATTGGAGTATCCTTCATTTACTCTTGAAATGTCCTTTAGACATGCCTTTTGATATACTCTCTGTGAAAGTCATACTCATGAATAAAATACCAGTGCTAGATAGACACTAGGCACTAGAGGGCCATGGCTTAGGGGAAGGGGTGCTGGGATTTATTGTCAGAATTTGACGCTTTAGACTATTTGAATTTTTTTTTGTAGAGGATGAATGATCCAAACCTGGTGTATTTTATTCATAAAGTTGACCTTTTGTAAGATAGCAACATTAATTGAAAACCCAATGGTCTTGATGATATTTGAATCTGGTCCAGTATCTCAGAAAAGTATTATGTCATGTGTGTTTTTATTATGAATATATGAGGCTGATCTCTATCCCTTTCAAAAGCTCAATATATTAGGCCAAGAAATTCATATTTACACCTGTAGAGTAACAGTTAACTATGTGTTAGTTGTAATTAAACAAATAACAAACTCCCCATGTTACAGTGGATGCCAGTCAGGCAGGAGAAGGTAACCTGGAGATCACCATCAGTGCTCAGGGGGTGAACATCCCCACACAGGTCCATCCTCAGGGTAATGCTAAGTTTGCCGTCAGCTTTGTACCCATCGAACCCGTCGATCATGTCATCAGCATATACTTCAACAAGGAGGCCGTGCCAGGTGTGTAAACATTACAAAGTGAACTCCCACGGTTTTTGTAAGTCATTTATAGACAGTGTGGGTTTTGAATACTGTATTTGGTTCTCTGAAATTGAGTTTATTGTTCTTGTAACCCTTATTTTTTCTCTGTCTGGTTTTGTACCCTCCTCTGACTATCCGACCTTGTTGAGGTGTCACACCCAATAGATACTAATTACTCTATTTAATTTGTTTATTTATGGCATAAACCAGTTTACAGCATGAACACTTAATTTAGTACAAAAGTTTTTGCAATTGACAAGATAATCTACTGTAGTTCTGGCCCCATTCATGGATTGTGTATGGCAGCAAATATGAGCATTACATTTTTTTTGGATTTCTAAAGTCTACTAATTTTCTGTTACACTTGATTTAGTGTTAAACTCAATTTACTTTTGGGTACTAAAGTTGACGTCCCATCTGTATGGGCCAGCTGTTGGTAATTTTTTCCATGTTTACACCAGTGGTATTTTGAATGAAAGAATCAAAAACACTTTAAAGGGAAAGCTCTCCAAACCCCTTAGTTCTCTGGATACGCTGGAAATTGAACCCATCTTTCTCGAACAGAAGTCCGGCTCATTAGGCTAAACACTTTTTCTGTGATATTTGATAAAACATAAAATATACTTTTTACTTTTTTTTATCCATGTTGACCTGTTCAGCTGGGCTTGATTAAAAAGTTAGGGTTAATATAAATCTGTGATTTACATCACCATGTCGGTGGAGTGATTGACTACATTTGTTTTTATCTAAAACTGAATAGGAAACAACTTTGACATGAGAATGGAACATCTGATTCAACCCATAGTCAAAGGTAATCACTAAGCTTATTTAAGAACACAAGAGCACATTTAATTGTCTGGGTAGCCGGGTGGTTATAGTGTGTTATAAGTTGTGTTATATTGTAATAGCTCATTACTCTATGTTGTTCCTTTTGTACTTTATAAGCAATGACTTGGAGTTTATTCTTTGTTTTTCTTATTCATGGATTTTGGAGCGAAACCGTTAATTCGCTCTCTTTGATTTTGGCCTTCAAATAGAGAACATGTAATCTGTAAATCGATATTGTGTGAAGTTAATAAAAGTTATGTAGAACCAGTAAAATCTGTATATTTATTAATAAAGCCCCACTTGCAACTAAATAATTAATTAAATGAATACAAATTAGAATATAGTGCTCGCCTTCAAATCTGAAGGTCGCTGGTTTGAATCTAAGCGAGATTGTTTCCATGGACCCAGATGCCATTTGTCATTGGGCTATTGATGCTATCAAACAAAAAGGTCGACATTAGATGGTAGCAAGACCATTCTTTGGACCGTTTCCTTTCAAAACGTAAACAATGCCACAGGTGTAAAAACACAAAATAAAATAAATAAAGCAAGCATAAAGTGTACCGTACATCAAATCACTAGTTAAATTTCACGCAAATTATCAGTTTTAAATACTTTTGTTCAACCTACTTTTGCTACAGGGTCGCTGTTCATAGCCCCCGTTGTGGGGGACTTCCCATTGGTCACCGGCTCCTCCTTGTCACATGCCCCGCTGGGCCAAGATTCTTATTTCACAATGAGCAATGTAGCCGGAAGTTTGGATGACATCGAGGTCAACGTTGAGGGTAAGTTAACATGTTTGATTGATAATACAGATTTAAAAAATGTCTATGACTCATTATTGTAGTGAATATAATTATATATATATAAATATTTTATCCTCATTTATTGCTTATTCAACACTATACTACTTTCTAAGTTTAGATTCTAAACTTAGAAATCAATACAGTGTTAAATAAGCAATAAATGGATATGAAAGTGAGTAACTACTTTATTATAAGATATATAACATCTTTTTTGTTGTTTAAGTTACAATAAATTTTTTCAGACTTATCAGCATATCCAAACCATAAAATAAAGTTTATCACAAATCTCCTAACCTTTTTTTAAAACGTTTTAACATGCCTCTTTCACAATATTTGTTGCAATGGTATTTACTGTTAGGATCTAATGTATGCTGGATTTAGAAAAAATAGTAATAAAATGTACACTATTATCTGTTTTGAAAAGGTAATTGTCCAAATAATTGCTTCTAACTATAGTTTGTAACCTAATAACTAAACTCAACAATACTTAACTAAAGTTTCTTGAAATAAAATACATTTCTACAGCCCTTAACAATGTTTTTCTTTATAAATGTGAATACACAAATTTATTGGTGTCCTTACTTTTTGTCAGCTATTTACTTGTTTCATTTGACTGTTGTAGGGATGTGTCGATTGTCGATACCACCGATACTTGGACGTTGGTATCAGTTATTTAATGTGTTTAGAAGGGTTTAAACTTAATAATTGGCTAGATAGAATTTTTTCATTGCTGCATTTTTTTTCTTTACTTGAAAAACACGCCATCACCACAAAAATACATTTTAGTAGGATAAAAAGACAGGGTAGTATAACTTAACCAATCCATTTAGACAATTTGGTAAAACTATAACAAAATGGCATCGGTATCGAGGATAGATTTTTCAGGTATCGGTATTGAGAATCGATAAATTTTGGTATCACTATCGACAAATCACTAGACTGTTGGTATTGTTTTTCCTTTACATTAGTTTGGTATTGTTTTTCCTTTACATTAGTTAGATTTCCACAAATTATTTTAGTAAACTTCTCAATGTAAATTTCTTCATTGCATGTCCTTGTTCTATGCACTGTTATTTTGTGTTATCTGGGCATTTTTGTGCACAGTCTTATTTTCATGTCTGTCATTTATTTGCATTGTTGTTTCTGTGTTTACGTTCTACTGCACATTGTTGATTCCTTTCACACCACTTAGCCTCTGCTTAGCTTAAGTGTTTGAATACAACTGTTTCTTGATATCATTTCCATGTAAAGACTTTAAATTTGAAATACATTTTGCCATTGGATGTAATTTTATTTTGTGAAAGTATGCTTATTTCAACACATAGAAACAATTGAATAAAGTGTACCCACATCATACAATTTTCCAAGTTTGAATATTCTGCCAGTTTCAGATTTTTTTAAATACATACAGTAATACATTTATTATCTTAGTGGCAAAATTTGCATTCTGGGGTAAGTATTGAGGAGTTAAAATTCAAGCCTTTGTTTTAATATTTGGCTTTTTCATGCCTATATCCTAATGTGGTCAAAAATAAGTCGGGTTTATAATTTTTGATTAAGAAGTTGTTTCTAGTCATTGTCATAGTGACTTCCAGTTACGTCTCAAAAATTACTTTGATCCCTCAATTAATTAATATAAACAAAATTAAATCAATTAGATGTGTAAAGTTGTGTGATCAACTTCCTCTTGTGTGCACTGTGGTCTGTGGCTTACTATCTCACTGTGTTTCAGGTGGGCACTCTCGGAGAATACGCCACTATTGACCTCTCTCTTTCTCACACTCTATATCTCCCTCTCTCTCCCTCACTCACCCTCTCTGGTGGTGGACCGGGGTAACTAGCTTCTCTAACTCGCTAACCTAACCTAGTCATCTGCACAGATCAATGTACTGATCTCATGAAAATTATTTGCAAATTAATATAATGCATGTAAAGTGGATTCTGTGAGAAAAAATGTACTTGTGTAAATGAGAATGAATTGGCAATGGTCAAAAATGTGGTGTTAACTTGTTAGAAATGATTGTTGTAAAAATATTATGAATGCTTGGACTGGTTGTAAATTCTAGTCGTTAATGTAAAAATCCAAATTCATATTCCTTCTTGTAAAAACATTTTTGTTTTTTATATCTAATAGATTTTACTATGCTTTATTAAGCTTTGCTTCGGATTGGCTTTTAGGTATTTTTTATGATGGTATACCCGACTGTTTATGAGTTCTTTGATACACTTTTTCACTCTTAATAATTAAATTGTTAAAAGTTGGTTTGAAAAGCCTTTCAATCTTCAACACTTGATAACATTTTTTACCATTAACAAATGTTATTTATGTAAAGTAGTATAATGCATGACATTTAACAGTAAGGTTCTGTTTTAATGTGTAATACTGTTTAAATGTGACTTGTTTTATTTTTTTCTTTGAATTATCTTTTTTAATACAAAATGTGTCTTTTACAATCACCATTTATCACCTTATTGTTTCAAGAAACAAGGACAGTTTTCAGTTAAGCTTTGGCTAAATATTTATTTACCATTCTTCTTTAAAAATAAGTTATTGAACGTGTATAACAAGACCTAACATTTCACCTTCTAGAGGTTTACCACTTACAAAATGTGTATACATTTTCATCAATGCAATTATGTAGTTAATGTTCACTTTGATTTCTTCTGGATCAAATATTTAAATCAAGGGCTGCTTCCGTAACAAAAGATTTGTAACCAGTATTTTGAGTTTCCTTCCTCCCAACCCGATTTGCAGGAACCTGTCCCTGGCTATAATTGCATGCACAGATAGCTTTGTACATTGCCGGGTTGGTAAGTTAGTGCTGGAACTAACGTTCCCCTCCCGTTGCGACATACTGTACGTTGGAGCATTCCAGGACCCAGTGGACAGTCAGTGCCTGCGCAAGTGAAGGACGCAGGCAACCAAACATTTAAAGTGGAGTTCTGTCCGAGAGTAGTCGGAGAACACAAGATCGCTGTAAACTACCGACAAGTCGCTGTCGCCGGATCCCCCTTCAGTTGCAAAGTTTACGACGTCAACGCCATCAAAGTCAAAGCCGTGTCAAGAGGGACGGTTGGTCAACCTGTTACCTTCCTAGGTAGGTTGCTAATGGATTTAGTTAATGAATAATATGTTTTTAGTTACACCCTTTGGCATTTTTATTTTAGTAGTCCTACAGAGTTGGCCCTTTGAATTTAATAATACAATTTTTATTCTTGCATGTTTTATAACACCGGTTTTTTACTTATATCAAGTTCTACAGTACACTACCGATTAACCGAGGTTGTTGGGACTGAGACTACCTCGGTTACCAAGAATCTTGAACAATACGGAGGTCGCATAGATTTTGAGGATAGGGTTACAGTGCCTTATTATGAATTAAAAACAAGCTTATTCTGGTTTGTTCTAACATTAAAATAATACTTGATGATTATTCCTAGCACTGTATTCATTTCAATACATCGCAAATTAATTGCTATTTTTACGTTTCTTTGGATAGAAACATACTATAATAAAGTAATTATTGTTTTCCTACTGAAAATAAAAAAATATATTTAGGCCAAAAACAACCTCGGATAAACTGAGGGCTCAGACAACTGGGGCTCGGATAATTGGGAGTGTACTGTATTAGGTATTGCTACTTTTTTTATCCCTTACACTATTTTTATCTTGCTGTGTTCTCACCTAGAATTTCTTTAATTTAATAAAATATTAAATTAGATTTCAATGAATAAAAAATATTTAAGGTAAAAAGTGGATAATCTATGCAAATACAAAATAACACTATATTTATGCCTGTAGATAAATGGTATGGAAATAAAAATTATATACCCATACTGGAGATCAAGCAAGAAGAAAAATTAAAATAAAACACACAATCAAAAAGAAATGTAAGAAAATCTACTTTCAGTTGGAGGAGCTGTTAACAATTTCATAGTGGCAGTAGAAGGAAAGTAGATTTTTAGTAAATCTTGTAACCTATATCTATGTGGCAGTTGAGACCAGCCAGGCAGGTCCTGGTAACCTGGAGGTGACAGTCAACGGAGGACGAGTGGCCACATCGGCCCAGGCGCAAGGTCCTCACACCTACGCCATCTCCTTCACACCACGCCAAGCCACCGCACACACCGTCGACTTGCGCTTCAATGGAAGGGATGTTCCAGGTACATACTACGCCAATAGCAAAATAATAAATTCAGACCTTTATGAAGTTTACAATATTTTTTGTCTATTTCACTAATGTGTTACCATCGTAAGTACGCTTCCTTGGCTATACTCAGCAAGTGTTGAGTTAAGAAGTAGCGTTTGACATTGGAAATTTATTACAAATGAGCACCACTTAGTTTGGTGAAACAGAAAACATACTACATTTGTAACTTAAATTACTTATACATTTGTTGCAACTTACATAGTATAGAACATATAGTGCATGAATATGTACATGAACATATAGTATTTACATAATCATGATAGTTAAGTAACTGGTAATCAAATAATATCCTTCACAAAACAATTTATTAAATTATTATATTAAAAATGTTTGGGTGTTAATTTGAACTGGATAAAATTATTGGACCTTAAGTTCAACAGGAGACATCACAACTCAATCCATTACTGGATTATTTACCAAATAATCCAGGAATATTTATTAATGCATCCCACGAGTTGAATTAATGTTTCTCAACAAGGAATAGTTTCAACAGGGCTAAATCCTGAATGTTACTATGTTATATGTGCTGTACCAAGTAATAAATAATAAAAATACTGTCCCTGTCCTAACATTAAACTGAATATTGTGAAAGTATTTTGTACCCTGAAATATTAACTTTAACTTAAACGCTACTTAATTACATACTATTTCAATAAAAATATCTGTGCATTCTCTCATCATATAAGTGAAGGTCTGCGGGTCAGACAACTAAATGACTAACACCAATAATTTTTAGGTTAAGCACGCTTTTGGGTATGATTATTAGTATTTACAATAATAATGGTCTCGAAATAGCTACATAACTAATCATGAGTAAGTTTAAGATGAAACTCAATATCTTAAGATTTAACCAAAATTATCCCCCTTTCAATTATTTGATTCTAAACCTGTCTGTATTCTGCAGGAAGTCCGTTCTCTTGTGTGGTGTCAGAAGCCGCTCGTATTGTCCTGTCTGGGGAAGACAAGGTGTCCGTTGACAAACCAGCCACATTCATCGTGGAGTGTGAGCCTTCCATGGACCCTCCTCAGGTCCAGGTGAGCTTCTAAATTATTATTTTGGGTTTGGTTTTGGTTTTATTATTTAAAAAATGCTAGTGGAATTAATCACAAGGCAGGAGACCACTGGGGCGTCCTTGATTACGATGGAGTGATAAAATGCTGAAAGAGAATTTTGAATGTTATGGCGGTGGTGATTTAAAACTGTCTGATAACCCTTCATAGGTCTGAGTGGCCTTCAAGTTCAAGTATATTGTTTGGAACTCTTAAACTCTAATGGACATATTTAGTCAATACCATCTTTTTCTCCAGCTGTATTGGTTTTCTTTGTGAAAGGTATAATGACTGTTAAGTACTTGACTAAGGCTTAGATTAGAAATGCAACATAGGTTTGGGTTGTTCTTCTGTTGAATATTAAGCTTGATTAGTGTATGTGTGGCATTACCTTTACATTAATTGTTTTTTGTGTGTCAGGTATTGTCTCCATCTCGACAACTTGTGCCTGTAACTGTCAAGCCTACGGACGTTCCTGGAAGGTTCTCTTGTTCTCTCACTGCGAAAGATGTTGGTACGTATCAAAGACTGTGTTTTCCTTTGGTCTTTAAAGACAAAAAAACTTTAACTTAAACTTCTTAATGTTTATATGTCTTATAGTAACTTATGATGTCAATAACTTCTTAATGTCTTATAGTTTATTAGAGTAAACAGCACAAGAATTGTATAATAGAAATTAATTGTAGTAGCTGTTTTTATCTCCTAGATTAATATAGAGAAACTTGGGAACAGTGATATTTGTTGGATGCAAAATCTTGTAGGCTTTAGCTTTGCAAAACGTGCAACTCTCATCAGTTCTCATATAAAATACATTTGTAGATGGAAATAAGTAGGGATGGACGGGTCCCGAAATTTCGGGAATTTTTCGGGGGAAAAAATATTCCCGATTATCGGGACGGGATTACATTTGACTCGGGAATTTTTCGGGACGGGATTTGGTCCGATCGTCGGCAATTTTTCCGCTTCGCGAGTGCCGATAACGCCGTTATTGCGAGCGATAGGTCCGCGAACGCAGGAGACGAAGTCATTTCGACGATTACGCCGTGACCGCGGAGTCATAACGACGATCGCGCCGTGGCCGCGATTATTGGACCGACGATCGCACCGTGACCGCGAGTCATAACGACGATCGGGCTGTGACCGCGGAGTCATACCGACAGTCACGCCGTGACCGCGGAGTCATAACGACGATCGCACCGTGACCGCGAAGTATACCGACGATCGCACTGTGACCACGAGTCATACCGACGATCACGCCGTGACCGCGAGTCATACCGACGATCGCGCCGTGACCGCGGAGTCCTACCGACGATTGCGCCGAGACCGCGAGTCATGACGACGATCGCGCCGTGACCGTGGAGTCATACCGACGATAACCCCGTGACCGCGAGTCGTGACGACGATCGCGCCGTGACCGCGAGTCATGACGACGATCGCGCCGTGACTGCGAGTCATGACGACGATCGCGCCGTGACCGTGGAGTCACACCGACGATAACCCCGTGACCGTGAGTCATACCGACGATCGCGCCGTGACCGCGAGTCATGACGACGATCGCGCCGTGACTGCGAGTCATGACGACGATCGCGCCGTGACCGTGGAGTCACACCGACGATAACCCCGTGACCGTGAGTCATACCGACGATCGCGCCGTGACCGCGAGTCATGACGACGATCGCGCCGTGACTGCGAGTCATGACGACGATCGCGCCGTGACCGCGAGTCATACCGACGATAGCGCCGTGACCGCGAGTCATGACGACGATCGCGCCGTGACCGTGGAGTCACACCGACGATAACCCCGTGACCGTGAGTCATACCGACGATCGCGCCGTGACCGCGAGTCATGACGACGATCGCGCCGTGACCGCGAGTCATGACGACGATCGCGCCGTGACTGCGAGTCATGACGACGATCGCGCCGTGATCGCGCCGTGACCGCGAGTCATACCGACGATAGCGCCGTGACCGCGAGTCATGACGACGATCGCGCCGTGACCGTGGAGTCACACCGACGATAACCCCGTGACCGTGAGTCATACCGACGATCGCGCCGTGACCGCGAGTCATGACGACGATCGCGCCGTGACTGCGAGTCATGACGACGATCGCGCCGTGATCGCGCCGTGACCGCGAGTCATACCGACGATAGCGTTGTGACCGCGAGTCATGACGACGATCGCGCCGTGATCGCGCCGTGACCGCGAGTCATACCGACGATAGCGCCGTGACCGCGAGTCATGACGACGATCGCGCCGTGACCGTGGAGTCACACCGACGATAACCCCGTGACCGTGAGTCATACCGACGATCGCGCCGTGACCGCGAGTCATGACGACGATCGCGCCGTGACCGTGGAGTCATACCGACGATAACCCCGTGACCGCGGAGTCATACCGACGATCGCGCCGTGACCGCGAGTCATGACGACGATCGCGCCGTGACCGTGAGTCATACAGACGATCACCCCGTGACCCGCGAGTCACAAGTTTCTATAGGTACCTGTAAATTGTTACCCATTTTTTGGTTTTTATAGATCAGTGCCACAAATGGTAAAAATTGATTTCGTATGTCTTTTTTGGTAACTGCAATACAGTACTTTCTTTTTATGCACAGAAAAAATCCCGTCCCGTCCCGAAAATCGGGAAGGAAATAAAAATCCCGTCCCGTCCTGTCCCGAACTAAAAATTCAATCCCGTCCATCCCTAGAAATAAGTTTCATTTTCTTCCCCTCACACTAGGCTTATTGTCAAACCCCAATTATTCAGTAACACTCGGAACAATCTAGTGAATTACTAAGTGGATTTGTTTTATCAAGATTGTTTGATTTCCTCGCAGGAGACCACAGTGTGGAGGTGAAGCTAGCAGGTGGACATGTGGAAGGTTCTCCATTCCTCATCAAGGCTTACGATGCCACCAAGGTCAAGGTCACAGATATCAGCTCCGGCACTGTGGGCAAACCTGTCTACTTCAGCAGTAAGTGAACCTTCAAAAATGCATTGCTAATAACTCCATAATATCCTTTATGTATACAATGTGTTTAATCTTTGACTATGAATGCTTAACAGACTTCAGCTTCTTAAAGCCAATTTAAGTTCTTAAACATTAAAATACTCATATGGTAATACAAATTGTTCTACAATGTACTAATACAAACCTCTCAAAACCATTTTGGGTTCTTGAATGTATAACAAATAAATCAACTATTGATGGACGAGATTGGATTTTTAGTTCGAGACGAGACGAGACGAGATTTTTTATTTCTCATAAAATTTCGAGACGAGATCGAGACCGGATTTCCCTTCTCATACACAACAGGAAATGCACGTTCGGAATTTTTACCTGATTTTGTAACATTGTTAGATGACTGTTTAAATACAAAAATAATGATAATAGGCAAGAATATTTACAATCTTTTATTAAAAAACATCAGCATAACATTTTTGTATTAATCACGCCTAAATTATTAAAAATGCCTACGATTAGGAAACATAGTGATATCAGTTAGGATAGAGTTCAACTTATCCTAAAATAAAATAAATCATAAAATAAAATATTAATTTTTATAAAATAGTTACTTGTTTTGACTTTTTTTATAGTAATAAAATTATTCCTCACACTGCTAACACTTCTCAAATGTTATTAAAATAATTAAAGTAATATTTACATTTGAAGAATTAATTAAATAAGAACGCCTTCGCAAAGGAAACGCAACTACAACACGCTCCTGTATTGCGGGTATTGCATTGACTTTCTGCAGGCGTTTTTATTTTTTTTTTATTCTTGTCTTGATAAAAATCTCGGCTAAAAGAAATCTCGTCTTGTGTAACGAGATTTAAAATTTCCTGAAAATTTCCCGAAATTTTGAGACTTGACCATCCCTAAAATCAACATTATTGAAACCTTTTGTATTTAAACAGTTTGTAACAGCCACTACTCATTTTCTAGTCAACGCCAGTCAAGCAGGTGCTGGCAATCTGGAGATTATTGTCTCTGTCAACGGCTGCAATGTACCCAACTATGTTCAGAGTGAGGGCAACGCAAAGTTCCGTGTCAATTTCAAACCCAGAGAAGCAGCTCCGCACAGTCTCAGCGTTAGATTCAACGGAGAGCCTATACCTGGTAGATTCATTAATTTTATTTCTAGAATTATTTTAAGCACTTATTTTTATCTCTTCAAAACAATATATTACTTCTTGTCACTTAGGCCAGCAGATGGGAAGATAATGTATGTTGTAAATACACATACATGCTGTAACAGTATTTGAAGGGAGTATGTTTAGAATTGTTCATGAACTGCTCAAGTAGAATTATTGCCACTGATCTGCCAAGTTATAATGCTATAATATCTAGATTAGAACTGGTTATCAATTTATCTACTAATATATAAGAATGAAGTGGTGTGTGTGTATGTCTGCTATGTTGCTATTAATATAATATTGTAACACTTACCAGGTATCTCTGGTTTCTCCCTTATTTAGGTTTAATTGAAATTAAATACAATTTGATTCAGCAGTGATGTTGTTACAGGGTCCCCTTTCACATGCCGGGTGCTGGAGCCGGGTCAGATCACAGTGAGTGGCCCGGGGGTCAAGATGAGTGCCGCGGGTCGACCGGCCGCTGTGTACGTTGACGGTGCTACCACCTGTGACGTCACCGTCACCTCACCCTCCAACCGTAGACTACCTGTCAAGCTCGACCACTCCGACAACCGACACACTGTGGAGTTTACTCCTGTGGAAGTTGGTCAGTCATTAGTCACTTGTTCTGTTGTCCTACTCAATGTCATGTTTGACTTTTGGAAAAGACTATAGGGGCTGGTCCCTTTGGTCAGAGAATGGTTGTAAATAAACCGAAATAAAAATCTGTTATTGCTGAAATTAGCCTTATATAATTGTTCCAGTTTCAGGTTTGAAGAAAATACATGAATTTTTAGGTCAATTAGTTTAATAAAATATAACCATAGACAAACAGAATAAATATGGACCGTCAGCTGTGCTGCGGTTAGCAGAAGTTCTTGCGTCCACCGCTAGGTTTGCCGTGTAGTTACGGCGCACACCGCTGAAGCGTCTGCTGGTCACATAAGGCTCCTCGCTCCCCGCCTGCAGCGGTGTGCGCCGTAACTACAAGGCAAACCCTAGGGATGGGCGCCAGAACCTTCCTTTGACTGTCTATATTTATTCTATTTGTCTATGATATAACTGAACTCATTCTTAGGTAAAAAACAATACGTTAAAAGTCAGCTTCAATTTAAACAATGTTCAAACATAGCAGTCAGACATCCAATGTAATTATTGTTCTGTAAAAAGTTACTTCAAAGTATGTGTGTGTGTGAGTACCTATTGTCGGAACCATGTAAGTTTGCGGTTGAGGGAGGAGCCTAATTACCATATGGTTTTGAATGGCCCAATGAGAACCGTGCGGTGTTGCCAAATCTAATAATACCAGCTGATTTAAAAATATTGGTTAGTATATTTTAATAAGTGTCGTCAACGGGCGATGTGGCAACGTCGCACTAGCCTTGACTTGTGATTGGCTGCCACCAACTGCATACTTACGTGGTCCCGACAATAATTGTTATGCTGCATCATAGTTTATATGTTAATTGAATGACTAAAAGTTAGAGTGTTTAGTACATCCCTGGTCCGACTTTTAACCCAGTCCGCCTCTGGTCTTATTGCTCATTTTTGAAATGTTTGAACTTAGGAACATCAAGTTAATTTTGTATTTTAAAAAAAAACCTAGTAGCTAATTGGATACCAGTAGCCAATTAGCTGGAATGATAGGGGTCAGTTGACAGACCCCAATCAATTAATTGGAGGTGGAGTTGTTTCTCTGATAAAATTATATGTATATATGAACTCTATCTTTTCCAAGTTAATGATAAATTATCAGTTATTAGATTATTAGAATGCTATGTTGTCTCAACCAATAAACCTTAAGTTAAGATTTATAATGTTCTCGGAAGTAACTTTCCCCTTATTTGACAGGTCGTCACCTGGTCGCTGTGGAAGCAGACGGACAGACAGTCAAGGGCAGTCCCTTCCCTTGTAATGTCTACAACGTAAATAACATCAAAGTCACTGGCCTAGGACCTGCTAAGGTAGATGCACTGATACATTTTATGTCTAATGTTGAAATGGGGTGGTTAAATGTTTTAGTTGGAGGTTTTGACAATCGGTTAATGTAGAAATTCCATACCCATGTTAATGCTAGCCTGTGTTACAATCTCCAATATACAACAGTAAATGGTTGTAGTGAAATGAGATATATTATTTCCTAGTCTTAATCATTTGTAACCATTATTATTGATTAAAAAAAAGGTGGTTTGCTACATGTATAGTGTGTATGAAAAGTAAATTTCATTAGGATACACTCTTAAATGTTACCAATAAGAATCACACAGGCTTTTGATCCAACAATAGTATTAAGAGGTCTACTTGATTTTTTGTCAATGTTGGAAGGTTAGTAAAGTTGTTTTTACAGGTTGGCAAGCCTGTGACATTCAGTGTGGATGCCATGGAAGCTGGTGAAGGAACACTGGAGCTGGTCATCAGCACACAACAGTCTACAGTGAAGGCGGAGGTGGTAGCGTGCTCCAGAGGTCTCTACGATGTCACCTTCGTACCCCATCAGCTAGCTCCTCACTTTGTTAACATCACGTTCAACGATGAGGATGTGCCAGGTATAACCTCACTTCTTGTCAATATTGAACTATATTTATTTATCTGTGTTTATCCACGCCATTTGCATTTTCAAAATTCTTTTGGAAGGGACCGGTTGGAAATGAATAAACTTAAGCTATCCCAATAAGAAAGAACTTGAACATCATTTTATGTTCTCAATATTAATAATTTACACTTAGAAAGCTTAACCGAATGGGAAAGAGTCCATCTTGGCACAAGTAACACTACAACTTTACTTTACACTACAAAAAATATTTAGAATATTTCTCTGTCACTGACAGCAATAATGCTAACCTTGACCTGTTGTGGTTTGTGTTTAACTTCTACAAAAAACACTTTCCGTGAAAAATGCTATCAGTGAAATATTGCAAGTATTGTGTACAGTTTGTTAAGCCAGGACTTTCTGCCCTCCCAATATAGTCTTAATAGTATATTTACTGTGACTGAGTCAAGACAAGTTGGTATGTGTACAGGCAGTCCATACCGGTGTGAGGTAGTACAGCTACCCAGCAAGAAGGCAACAGCCACAGCTAGAGGGGAGGGTCTCAACCAGGTGGTGCTAGGGACTGCTGCTTACTTTGAGATCAACCCTCACTCCTCCGATCACGGCACGCTTGACGCTCAAGTCATTGGTATGTCCAGACCAGCTGTAGCCATATGGACTAATTGAATATGTCATTACGTGTGAATGTGTTACTCTACAAAATTCTATTTTCTTTGTTATTTTATCTTTGTTTAGAACTAAGTATATTATGTGCTCATGTGTATCATGTGTTCATTGTTTTTCATGAAATCACTGGAAATAAGTTTAAAAATGGCCATCCAACTATGGTCAATATTTGTCTTGTAAAAACAAGGGACATATTAATCAAAAATTACTGTTATGCACTGATGATTTATTTACCCCAACAAACATTGTAAACAAAATGTTACCTACTGTACTGTGATGAAATGTCACAATCAATGTTTATGCATACACAGGTCCAGACGGGTCTCGTGTGCCTGTTGCCATAGAGCGGCTAGAGACTGGTATCTTCAGAGCCAAGTATCGCCCCACCATCGTCGGCACTCACAGTGTCACTGTCACTCAGCGTAAACAGCCAATCACCAAGCAGCCGTTCACAGTACAGGTCTTTGACCCACTACAGGTCAAACTGACTGACCTCAGCGAAGCTTTCTGTCATCGTGCTGCCACCTTCAAAGGTGAGCTTGTTTGGTTAACTTCCTGACAATGCATAAATTACTATAAAAAGGTTTTTAAGTTGAATAGTTCCTGAAAAAGTATAGTGTTGTGCAGTTATTTTGAAAATGTTCCTCTAGTTTTCCATCTAATTTGTCTAATTCTCCATTTAATTTTAATCTTTCGGAAAATGTTTCATGTTAAAGTTGTTTTCTTTTCAGTGGTATAATTTCTTTTAAAATTCTACAAATTAGTCTCAAACATAGTAATTAATTACATGCTGCTATCGTCCTTTGACTCAACCTCTCTATTGTTATCAAATCTGTTACAAATCTTAACTTAAGTTATGTGTGCTGTCATTATAAATTTAAACTAGTGGCTGTACTTTTGCAGCAAATTAGTTTAATTTTTGCAGAATAAAATTTACAACTTTATCCTAAAGTAAACATTGTGGTTTACTTTGTGTACCTGAGACCGATCAATATTTAAAAGCATCGCCTAAAATTATGTACGTACGTGGGAAATTTCCTCGGGGATTTTAAGAGCATGGGTCCATTTTTTGGCTAGATTTATGATCAACCTTTGTGTTGGGTTTTAGCCATATTGGCTCAGTAGTGTTTGTGTTTGTCGAGAACAAACAGATACACAGACAAAACTACCATTATTTTACAACAATGAACTTTAGTACTATATTGTAAATGGTTGTGCAGTGGACACGAGAGGAGCCGGGTCGGGGGCTTTGTCCGTCAGTATCAGAGCTGCTGGGGCAGAGATAAAACACACACTGAGGGAGCTGGAGACCCCGGGACTGTATCAGGTCGTCTACCATCCACAACTAGCCATACCACACAAGATACATGTCAAGTACAACAGCATGAACATTGGAGGTAAAGCAATCAACAGTATTGATAGCTACAGTAGAACATCTCTCAACCGAAACAACTGAAATAACGATCTAAAGTAATGGTCTAAGTTGCAACAACATTATTACAATTTGATTCTTAGCACTGTGGTAGAAAGATATGTTCAATTGAGGGATTACTTAACATCCTTGAAGTGACTTGCAATTAAAGATATATAATTTATGCTAGTTGCTCTGCCCGTGCTTTACAACGGAGATGAGAATACAGAGAATGATGTGATTCTTTAGAACTTCAGCAAAAAACCTATATACACCCAACAATAATTATTATAAAGACAAAACTCAATCATTCTTATTGCTTATTTTAATAAATACTAGTTAGGAGAAGTGTTCATATGGTCGAAAACTCGACCAAAAATATGTAATGCCAAAAGACTTCTCTATTTTCACCCCAAGCTGTAAAATAAAACATCGGTGGGGCACACAGGGGGAACTATGGCTAACATATCTTGTAGTGGGGAGCGAGCTGGCGTAGTGGTTAGAGCGCGGGACTTCAGTCCCTGAGGTCCCGGGTTCGATCCCCGCCAAGTCACCAATGGATTTTATCTAAGTGATAGTGCCGCAACCCCTAGGTCTAGCCTGAAGTAATGTGAAAAACAATCCCAGGCTCGTGCCTAGCGTCCTAGGACAAAAAAAAAAAAAAACATATCTTGTAGTGTCAGCGTTCGCCGCTAGAACCGCTAAGTTGAAAAATTTTAATTCATTTTATAATTTTTAGTTATAAAATTAAACTGTCATAACCTAACCGAACCAACCAAACTTGCTGATTGTAGAGTGACGTCACGCCCCCCAATCTTTCTCAGAAAAGGTTCTCACCAGTTTCTGGAAGGGGAAAACGAGGTGCTATAAAGGTTCATGCCTTAATAAGAGGGTTTGTTCAAGAAACCTTTTTCAGGAAATTTACCATAAAGTCCTTTTAATTAAGTATGTGTGATACATGTGCAGGGATTACGGTTTTCTCAAAAGTTTATTTTCCTTATTAACATAGAGATAAAAAAGCTATAACCAGTGGTGTTGTTGGAAATTTTATAGTCTGGGAACTTGTGGAGTTTTGACTGTAAGATATTGACTATTGAGAGTTAAGTACAATAACAGGAATACTGTCCCCTATCATCATTGTTGATGTGAGGTGTGTTTGTCCTGTATAGGTTGTCCGATGGAGGTGGCAGTGTCAGACCCAGCGGTGGGCCGAGACGTTTGCGCCACAGGCCTAGGACTGTACCAGTCACGCGCGGGCCGTGTCACACACTTCACCATTGAGACGGCTGGTCGCCCCGCGGGGGAGTTTGACGTAGTAGTCACTGGACCACAGGGTGGTGCTGTACCTGTACGATGCTATCAGCAGAAAGACGGAAACTTGATGGCCGAGTTTACACCTAACAACACTGGTATGTAACACATATTGGGTCGTTAATTTTTTCCTGTAGTTCTGTTAGAACTTGTATTTTATTAGCAGTGCATTAAGGAAGAAGGAGTGGATTGCGACCCATTCCTTAAGCAATTCACCTAAGAAAAGAGTTCCATGTAGTTGAAAGCATACAAAAAGTTTGTAGCACAATTAACTTGATGTTTCGTCCCTACAAGGAGGTTTCTTCAGAAGAAACAAGTAGAACTTGCTTTTAAACCACAGTTATTTTAAACGACATGTCGACAGTTTATAGTTGCTTACATTGATTTGTTATTAGTGTTAATAGTGTTACCCGTAAAGAAAATTATATATAGAAAAATGTATAATTTCCCCTAAATTTGAGTTTTAAAATTAGCTTTGAGAAAGAGTGAAATAGTTTCAAGTTCTGTTTACTCCAGGAGTGTACAAGATTGACGTGCTGCAAGGGTCTCGGCCTGTGAGGGGCTCCCCCTACCATTGTCAGGTGTTTGATGCCACCAAGGTCAAGATAGAGACTCTAGCTGCCAACAGTGTTTCTGTCAATGAGAACATCTCCTTCAAACGTAAGTCCCAACACTGTCACTGATGAACTGAGTGACTAATTTGTAAGCTTAGGTTCTAAAAAGTGAAGGTTTATTTGTGTCATAAGAAATAACAAGTGTTAATTCTGGTAGTCTAAGTTAGGAACATTAAATTGGTAAAACCATAGACTAATCAACACAAGTAGACTCCTCATCCCATTGTACATTTTGAAGCTTGTTTTTTGTGTCTAGTTCATGTACGTCCACACAGATCGCTAGTGTAGACAAAATTTTGTTTCTATTATTTTAGGGTTATTTTCATAATTTGTGCTTTACTATTTGATTATATGACTAGAAGACCAGTTATTGTTTATGATTATGCAGTTTTATTTGGTTAAATGATGTTTTAAATGACTGAAATATCAAGAAACAAATTGTAAACAAAACATAACCTCTACAGTTGGACGTACAATTATCAATTATCAATTATCAATTATTTAAGATGGGGACGCCACTTTGTGAACAGAACTAAAAATAAAATTGGCTTCAGCTGTTCCATAAGGATGACAAATCTACTAAGGGAGTATGTTTTATCTATGGTAAAACTAAGCTGTCAGTGGTTCAAACACATTTTCCTTAGTGATGAAAAGATTTTCCAATGACCAAGAATAATTTATTTTAAATTATGCCATTGACTGTCTTAGTATATATCTTGTATACTAGAATTCTTATTTTTCAGTATGTAACTTGGGGTGTAACAGTCCTCAAATTGGGGTTTTTATTAAAATAATTAGTATTTTCCAGACCATTCTACCATTGGCTATCATTGAAAATTGTAGAATTATAGTCTAGGTTTTGTTGATGATTATGTAGCTTATACCAAAGAGAGTTTTTAAATTAAATCCTGGACTGAGTGACTTGATCTCAGTATTGAGGGGTAACGACTTTCAGTAACGTGTTGTGTGTTGTTGGTAGTCCTGCGTAAGAACGCAGGATTTGCAGAACTTGACGTGACTGTACGCAGTCCACTGGGACAAGACTTGCCACTGTCTGTACGCAGCATCGGAGAGGAGACGGATCTCATTGAGCTGTGTCCATCACTACCTGGCAACTACTGCTTCCACATCACCTACGGTGGCGACAGCATCCCTGGTCAGTTACTCTACTTTGTCCTTGAGATTTTGTTGTTGTGAAAATTTCTAGAGCATCTTGCAATATGTGTTATCACACAGATTGATTTAATATTAAATAAAAATAATCCATACTTATCTTGATGGTTGCCTTAGTTCTTGATATGTTTTGCATGATCGTTTAGCCCATGATAGTTTAGCCCATGATCGTTTTGCATTGTGCACTATCCCCAGGGTCTTGTACTATTTACATGTTCTTATTATTATAATTATTTGAAAATGTGGCATAGCCCTCCAGTCTTAAGGTCCTCCGCTGACTAAAGACTCTGTGATGCCTCGGCCAGATTGTTTAAGTTGAAAACTGGAGTAAGCTTCAGTTTCAAATTTGTATAATAGGTAGTCTGTGAAGATGTCCTATATTAAGGTGAATTCTTTGTGTTTTGTTTTGTGATCTTTTTATCAGCCCCAGGATAAGCTTATCAGCTTTCTCAGGTAAGATAGCTTAACATCCCTTTTCAACAAATTCCAAATCAACCATTATGCCTTTTTCTTCAAATATAAACATCATATTTTTTTCTTGGAAAAGTCACTTGGCTTAGGAATACATTAAGGAAAAATGAATGGATACACACATCCAAGGAAAGAGTTCCAGGTAGTTGATGGCTCACAAAATGTGATCAACACAATTGCATTGATTTGGCTCGAAATCTAAATCGAGAAAATGTAGTAAAATTGCCTCTGAAGGTTGTAGTAAAATACCAGAATTCGTAATTGTTTCTCAGGTCAGATGTTTTTATAGTTACTTTTTCCTGAGTGTTACATAAGGTTTTCTCTGTCTCTACAGACTCCCCGCTCACATTCACCGTAGTGGAGAGTGGCGTTGCCCGGGCGTGGGGGCCAGGACTGTCACGCGCACTGCTAGACACAACGTCCAGGTTCATGGTGGCTTGTAGCGGACTCTCGCCTCACGCTAAGCCTGACGTCACCATGGATGGGCCGGGCGACCAGTCAGTCAAATGTCAGGTACGAGCGGATTACTTATTCTTGATGGAATATTTAATCATAAACAGCTCAAGAATATCGGTGTTTTGTTTAAATTTGTAAAATAGATTACCCATGAACCTGGAGATTTAGAAAATTTGATTTAAGATCTGACAAGTGCTTAGAAATTATTGTCAAAGTCAAAGCCTTCATTCAATTACAAACCAACGTCAAATTTTCTTTGTTAAAAGTTACAAAATAAGCAGGTTCAAATACAAAAGACAGTCAGTTTGGATTAACAATGAAAAACCAAATGAAAATAAAGAGAAAATCAAAACAAAACAACTCTATGCACAAACTAACACAAAACAAACATCTACTTAAAATGGCTACTTACAGTTTTCTGGGAGATACAGTAGAACGTCGATAATCCGGATTAATTGGGACCGGTCCTCATCCGGGTTATCAACAAATCAACTCTATGCACAAACTAACACAAAACAAACATCTACTTAAAATGGCTACTTACAGTTTTCTGGGAGATACAGTAGAACGTCGATAATCCGGATTAATTGGGACCGGTCCTCATCCGGGTTATCAACAAATCAACTCTATGCACAAACTAACACAAAACAAACATCTACTTAAAATGGCTACTTACAGTTTTCTGGGAGATACAGTAGAACGTCGATAATCCGGATTAATTGGGACCGGTCCTCATCCGGGTTATCAACAAATCAACTCTATGCACAAACTAACACAAAACAAACATCTACTTAAAATGGCTACTTACAGTTTTCTGGGAGATACAGTAGAACGTCGATAATCCGGATTAATTGGGACCGGTCCTCATCCGGGTTATCAACAAATCAGGATTTTCAAACATAAGCTATTTTTATACCTTAAAACTAAAAAACTGTTATCAAAAGCCTGATAATTTACCAATATAAACAATAGCAGTAGGTAAACACAAGAAAAAGCTGTAATTAGTTCAGTACTGCACTTTATTTAAACTGTAACACAAAATAATAAACAAAGAAAACAAGACAGTTCGTGTACAGTAAACACAGGGCACCTAATAAATGATCGACAATACAGTACTAATACAGTACAGTCAAACAATAACTTCTATAAGCCACAAAATGAGCACAAACAGTTGGACACACAACATATTATCAACCAACGATACTGATGTACACTTTTAACTGCAAAAACAATAACCAAACGCAGACGACACAGTAGAACATTCAGTTGCGAGAGCGAGAGGAACTACAACTACATTAGACTAGACATAAAATGGCCGCCCGATTGATAGTGGTTGTTGCTGTGACCTTCAGACCCACCTCCCCTCCCGCTCCCGCACACCACACTCCCTTGTTCCACTCTCCCGCCCCTTGCGCTCCCGCGCAAGTGCAATAATGAGCCACACATCAGTCCATTTGAACGCTACTGTGTATTTGAATTGTCAAGGTAGCGAATCTGGATTATCGACGGTCCGGATTTTTGACGTCCGGATTATTGACGTTCTACTGTAGTGAACAAATAATCGAGATATATTAGTGGGTTTACCAATAAAAAGTAACCAAGATCTTTATTGAGTTTAAAAGATGTCTGGGTCAAAAATAGGCTGAAAGTAAAGAATTTTTACTTAAATTATATAAAATCGGAGAAGTGAAAGAGAGTCTGTACTATGTGTTTTTATTAAATTGTTGATAAAAGTAGATATTGCTTTCCTTTTATTTTATTTTTAATGTAATTGTGGTGTAATTAATTGTTTTACTTTTAGGTGACAAAGACTCAAAACAATTGTGAGTATGAAGTGACTTACACCCCGTCTAAGGTTGGTGTCTACGACATCAGGATAGCTTGCAATGGAAAACCTATTGCTGGTAAGTTCACAGCTATTTATAAATTTCAATTATTTCTTAATGTAAGTTCAAATTGACTCCATTGATGTTTAATACCATTGTTTACCCTTGTATTATTTTAATTGATTGAACCATCTGTACCATTATTATGTACTATAAATAATAAAGACATTTTGACTATTGCTATAATTTTATGGAGGGGAGTTGATCAAACATTTTTATTTTATAACATCCTTGTATGTTATCTTTAGTATGTTGTCCGGGTTCTCTGTAGTAATTTTATCAATCAGCTATATAAAATCTGCCAAAAACATTTAATTCATTGCAGTTTGTGGTAATCCATTACATAATTTAATGTGTGCCATGCAGTGAGTCTATTGTAATATCGTATTGATCGGCGGTGGATGAGTCATCTGAACAGTACACTGCCTTATAGTAGGAGGTGTTGCTAGTTGTATCCGTCACCTCGTCTGACAGTGATTGGTCTTCACAAGATTTAGTAACACACCATGTACACCATTGTGATAACAAAAATGTTTATTTAAATGTCAAAAACGTTGAGTGTTAAATTTAGTGAAAACTTGTTTATGTTTGTTTAAAATAATTTTTTATTTCAAAATAAATTTATCTAGTTTTTTCATTATTTGGATGGGGTCCAATCCAAATCGATCCAGATAGATGGTTTGTGTTTTACTGTACCACATTATTTTGCATACTGTGTAAAAATATTTTATTGAGATGTTTGTGTACCTAAGGTTCTCCATTCCGAGCCTATGTCGTCTGCGTGGAGAGGGTGAGGTTGATAGGAGATATTCCCGGAGGTCGGCTGCCGTTGTCAGTCCACGTTCCTACCAGGCTGACCTTTGACGTCTCCCAGGCAGGACCAGGTGATTAAACATTAGCTTTTCAATGAGGCAAGTGACTCATTAGGAAGACTTTTGATAAGAGAAAGAGTTTAGCTGACCAAATAAGAGTAACGATAGATACACACAAAACAAAACATATCACTGATACTTTGTCATAAAACAGTTCCGGGCTAGAAATAGCGTCCTAGGATGTGAAGGTGGAACATAAAAAAATACAATATTTTGTCAAAAGGATTTCTTCGGTGAATGAATTGAATGGGATTCAGAGAGTAGGTTTATTTTCAACATACTCTGTTTAGGATGAAAAATCAGTGCCATATTTTATAGCCATTTATTGTTTATATTTTAGCCCATGGGCTCTAATTTTGTTAACTACATCCCTTTAAAAAATATCATTCTTACAGGCGTTCTAATATTGGTTAAAAAGTTTTAATAGTCAATTAATAATTATATCCTTGTTATCATTTTTTTTTATAAAGTAGGCTTATATTAAAATTGTTAAGCTCAATCCATGCCACGGGTGGTCTGATTCAACCCGTATACCAAATGTGCTCAGATGTAAAAACGGTTTATTAACTTTTATTCAACATTTTCATCAACAGGAGACCTTGTGGCAGAATGCAAAGCACCTCATAACTCTACTCTACCAGTCCCAATAGAGTCGCCGACACCAGACAGACTACAGCTGTTGATCACCCCCCGCACCCCCGGCCCACACACACTTCACCTTAGCTACGGGGGCTTCCCCCTCCCTCTCTCCCCCATCCAGGCATTGGCTGAGGGAGGCACTGGGGGAGTCAGGGTCATCCTCACAGGCAAGGGCCTCGCGGGGGCCGTGTGCAACCAGCAGGCGGAGTTCACCATCGACGGCTCACAGGCGGGGCCGGGTAAGTTATATTTGCTTTGTGAGTTTAATTTCATTTTGTAGTCTTTGACTCACTTTTATGTGGATAGAAAATAGGTCAAATTACCTTAAGTCTAGTACTGTAAGTTCTTTGGAGAAAAGAACACTTGGCTTTTAATACGTTAGGGAGGAAGGAATGGATACACAACTAAATTACCCAAAAAAGAGTTCTATACAGTTGACAGCACACAAACAGTTTACAGCACACAAACAGTAGTTACAGACAGTTGACAGAACACAAACAGTAGCTACAAACAGTTTACAGCACACAAACAGTAGCTACAAACAGTAGTTACAGACAGTTGACAGAACACAAACAGTAGCTACAAACAGTTTACAGCACACAAACAGTAGTTACAGACAGTTGACAGCACAAACAGTAGCTACAAACAGTTTACAGCACACAAACAGTAGTTACAGACAGTTGACAGAACACAAACAGTAGCTACAAACAGTTTACAGCACACAAACAGTAGCTACAAACAGTTTACAGCACACAAACAGTAGCTACAAACAGTTTACAGAACACAAACAGTAGCTACAAACAGTTTACAGCACACAAACAGTAGCTACAAACAGTTTACAGCACACAAACAGTAGTTACAGACAGTTGACAGAACACAAACAGTAGCTACAAACAGTTTACAGCACACAAACAGTAGCTACAAACAGTTTACAGCACACAAACAGTAGTTACAGACAGTTGACAGAACACAAACAGTAGCTACAAACAGTTTACAGCACACAAACAGTAGCTACAAACAGTTTACAGCACACAAACAGTAGTTACAGACAGTTGACAGAACACAAACAGTAGCTACAAACAGTTTACAGCACACAAACAGTAGCTACAAACAGTTTACAGCACACAAACAGTAGTTACAGACAGTTGACAGAACACAAAAGATTGTTTATGTGCCTACACTTCCACTGACTGGAACTCTTTTCTTGGGTAATTTAGTTGTCTATCCATTCATTCTTCCTTAATGTATTATGCTTATCTATGAGCCATTCTTTAATTACTTTGAATTACCATGGTTTTCAAGCTGTTGGTGGCCTCAAGTTCACAAAGACATTGAGCATGACCATTCCTCTTTAACACGGACTGAGTAAATATTCATTGTACAAAATATAGAACATGTGATAGAAGACAAATGTGTAAGCTTATTACAACTAGACATTATTACTTTGCTGTCACTCAAAATGACCAAGTTTGAGTACTGCATCAATCTTATTTGGCAAGTTAAATGTAATCCCTACCAGAATTTCGAAACATATTAAAACATGGTTTGCATAATTAATTGATGCAATTAATCTTAAGTTAGTCCTCTATTACAGTTACTTTATTAGTGTACAGTGAAATTAGTGATGGGTCTGTACTTAACATCATATGTCGGTTCCACAGGTTCTTGGGAAAAGTACCGGGACCAAGAATCGATGGTGTAATATTTATCGATGATACCTTCGGTACCAAGTTAATAGGTTATATTTTTATTTACTCATTATTACAAAATTCAAATTGTCAACAATGATGATTATTATTTCAGTTAGGGCTATTTGAAAGGGCATATTTATCATAAAATATTATCAATGGTAGGCAATAGGATGATTATTTCAGAATGAATGAATGAATGATTTATTCCGTTAAATTTGCTACATAATACAAAGTTTACACTCTTTACTATAATATTAAGTTTACAACATAAAATAATCAAGAATAGAAAAAAATTTACAAAGTTGTGAACTTAATGTTGAATTATACAAAAACTAGCAAAACAAACATAATAAACTTATAATTTTGTAGCTAGTTATAATTAATTGGTCTTGTGGAATCAGCAGACATAGACAAACTCTGCCTGTGCGCCTGCTGGGTTGCATAGAGTCTTTAATGACCTGAATTTGTTGATTGGGAATTCAAACAGAGATTAAATAAAAACGGAAAAAAAGATTTTTTGAATTTTTCTTGAGGATGAATGATATGCAATGACATGAAATGAGTGATAGATAATTTCTGTGGGAGCAAATACAGTTGTGTACTAGTTTCGAAACATATTTTTATATGTTTTGAAACTTTCCGCCATAGACTAATTTTAGGATTGACGACGGAAGGTGTGTTAACCTATTTATATTGTCAAAATTATACTACCTTAAAGCCATCATTTTCTTATCTGAAGTTGATTAATAATAACATTAATAATAGTTAGTTACAAGTTACAGGATTATTTGATTTAATTCATACAGTTCTTTATTTTACTTTGTTTTGAACGAACTATGGAAATACAAAGGCAACATAAACACCACTAAATGTACGACTCGAACCTCTAACTCAGTCAAGTTCACTCTAACTGTTTGACATTCCCTAGTTCTCAAAATTATCTTTCGTTCAACACAAAAATCATGAAAACCTGTCAAGTGGATTCAGAATCGTGAAATAAAAAAAAACCCTGTCACATTTTAATATATATGATACCGATGGTACTGGTACCGAGAACCGAGAATCGATTTTGGTTAGGAACCGGTACCGGAACCGACATTGAAAAAGGGGTACCGACCCATCACTAAGTGAAATGTATTTTCACAGTGACACTGATCCTAATGGTGTTATTTGCAGGCATGCCCGAGGTGACATTGACAGGGATGAAGAACGACATCAAAGTGACTCTGATCTCTGTTGGGGACAATGTGTACAAAGCCACATACACCCCGACGCAGCCTGGCGCATACCTGCTCAATGTTATGTGGTCGGACAGGTAGGTCTTGCAGTACAGTTCAAACCAATACTTCTCTATGTCAAAGCAGTGTTGCCTACACTCTTTCTTAGTAGCAGAAATATTCAAAGTGACTGTTGGAGACAATTTGTACAAGACACATACACCCCGACGCAGCCTGGCGCATACCTGCTCAACGTTATGTGGTCGGACAGGTAGGTCTTGCAGTACAGTTCAAACCAATACTTCTCTATGTCAAAGCAGTGTTGCCTACACTCTTTCTTAGTAGCAGAAATATTCAAAGTGACTGTTGGAGACAATTTGTACAAGACACATACACCCCGACGCAGCCTGGCGCATACCTGCTCAATGTTATGTGGTCAGACAGGTAGGTCTTGCAGTACAGTTCAAACCAATACTTCTCTATGTCAAAGCAGTGTTGCCTCTACACTCTTTCTTAGTAGCAGAAATATTCAAAGTGACTGTTGGAGACAATTTGTACAAGACACATACACCCCGACGCAGCCTGGCGCATACCTGCTCAACGTTATGTGGTCGGACAGGTAGGTCTTGCAGTACAGTTCAAACCAATACTTCTCTATGTCAAAGCAGTGTTGCCTACACTCTTTCTCAGTAGCAGCAATATTCAAAGTGACTCGATCTCTGTTGGAGACAATGTGTACAAAGCCACATACACCCCGACACAGCCTGGCGCATACCTGCTCAATGTTATGTGGTCGGACAGGTAGGTCTTGCAGTACAGTTCAAACCAATACTTCTCTATGTCAAAGCAGTGTTGCCTACACTCTTTCTTAGTAGCAGCAATATTCTAAGTGACTCTGATCTCTGTTGGAGACAATGTGTACAAAGCCACATACACCCCGACACAGCCTGGCGCATACCTGCTCAATGTTATGTGGTCGGACAGGTAGGTCTTGCAGTACAGTTCAAACCAATACTTCTCTATGTCAAAGCAGTGTTGCCTACACTCTTTCTTAGTAGCAGAAATATTCAAAGTGACTGTTGGAGACAAAGTGTACAAAGCCACATACACCCCGACGCAGCCTGGCGCATACCTGCTCAATGTTATGTGGTCAGACAGGTAGGTCTTGCAGTACAGTTCAAACCAATACTTCTCTATGTCAAAGCAGTGTTGCCTACACTCTTTCTTAGTAGCAGAAATATTCAAAGTGACTGTTGGAGACAATGTGTACAAAGCCACATACACCCCGACGCAGCCTGGCGCATACCTGCTCAATGTTATGTGGTCAGACAGGTAGGTCTTGCAGTACAGTTCAAACCAATACTTCTCTATGTCAAAGCAGTGTTGCCTACACTCTTTCTTAGTAGCAGAAATATTCAAAGTGACTGTTGGAGACAATGTGTACAAAGCCACATACACCCCGACGCAGCCTGGCGCATACCTGCTCAATGTTATGTGGTCAGACAGGTAGGTCTTGCAGTACAGTTCAAACCAATACTTCTCTATGGCAAAGCAGTGTTGCCTACACTCTTTCTTAGTAGCAGAAATATTCAAAGTGACTGTTGGAGACAATTTGTACAAGACACATACACCTCGACGCACCCTGGCGCATACCTGCTCTGGAACTTTAAAAACACTAGCTAAAAGATGATTTTTTACTCAATTTTTTTATGTTATTATAATGGTTTATGTTGTACAAACTAGTTAAGTTGTTGTAATGACTATTGAAAATGTTTTTAACTGAAATATCTTTGGTGGTTATGGAGGTTTTGCACAGATTGATTGCATGTTTCAGACAAGTGAAAGGTTGTCCACTCAAGGTAACAGTGACTGCTGTGTGTGATGCATCGAGAGTCGTCTGCTCAGGGGACGGCCTCGGCACAGGAACTGTTGGCAAAGACATCAGGAGCTTCATCGACACTCGGGCTGCAGGACCAGGTATGTTACCTTAACCTGTCTCAGTTAGGAGATTTTCTCTCGGTTTTGCAATTTTCTCAGTTATACAGTTTTTAGTTTACTTTGGTTAGCCAGCAATTCTTGATTGTTGTTGACTTGAAAGGCATGGAATTGTTTTAAATTCAGCTGTTTCTGTCCATCACATAATCAGTGGGTTGTCTCAATCAGCTCAACAGCCGTTATGGCGGCTACCTATCTTGAATAAAGTGATCTGAATCTGAACCTTGCTAGCACAGAACTATTTTAGTTTCAATGCTGCTCACTGAGTATCACCACTAGTATTCATACATCTGTTTTTTTTACAATTTTTGCTTGCCTTCTAAAGGGTTTGATTGTTTTTATGGTGGGCAGTACAACAGGCTATACGGCAGGGCCAACTGATGTGAAATTTATCTGAGCTGCTATATAAAAGACCGCAACCAGTCAGTTGAACCACCTAACGGATAAGAACTAAAAAAAATTTCCCGTTCGGGAAGTAACAAAAAGGTTACATTCTCCTTTCAAATTTTCAATTATATCCGTATTACGTAGGCTAGTTGGAATTATAAATAAATCTGTTTGAATTTGTAGGAGAGTTGAGTGCTCACTGCGTTGGACCCCACAAGGTCGCATACTGTGAACTCTACGACCACAGCGACGGAACATTCACACTCAACGTCAAACCACAAGAGGCCGGTCGACATACGCTCACTGTTAAATATGGAGGTGAGTTTAAATATCTAGTTATTATTCCCATTCTTCTGTGGTAACTCAAATCCCAACAGATTTACCTGAAGATATTCAACAAGTTAATGCTTTATATTTTTAGTTTGTTTGCAGGAAACTGTTTTGGTTATTCATTTGTTCGTGTGCAGGTGTGGATGTGCCAGGCAGTCCGTTCACTCTGAGGGTGTCCGGAGCGCCAGACGCCAGCAAGGTAAGAGTCTACGGCCCCGGTGTGGAACATGGAGTCTTGGCTACGTTCCAGTCTCGCTTCATCTGTGACACGCGCGGCGCAGGTGCTGGCCAGCTCACCGTCAGAGTCAGAGGGCCAAAAGGTAGAGTCCGAATTTTTGTGGATCCTTAAAAACAGAGAACAAATTTTACCTGACAATGGATTTTCTAATCTTTATATAAAGGATTTCACAATAACGTTTTATTTTTAAGGTAAATTCTAGTCTTTTTTGTTAACATATTTATGGGCCTAGTGTTTTTTTTATATATTGTAACACTAATGGAAACTTTAAAAACATCCTTAAATCAAGTTAACATGATTGTAATTTATTAACATTTTCCCCATTGCACAAACATTAGGGACAAAAACCTATTAGTAAATTTCTCTATTATTGATTATAGAACTTATTCTGCAGGTTTGTTCTTATAGTGTATTTTAGAGTCTTGTCAGTAATAACCTTGTAAGTGACATCAGATCTTTAATGTACTGTGGTGCATTTTGTATAACAAATAATTCCTACAAAGCTCTACAGGGTATAATTTTTTTTATTATTTTAATATTTAATATTTGAATTTAAAATAAAATTTGATTCAAAATTATTGATTTATACCTTTTTTGAAAAATTTACCTTCCATGTTTTGTTTTAGGTGCGTTCCGTGTGGAGATGCAGCGAGAGTCGCAGAAAGACCGGACGATTCTCTGCAAGTTTGACCCGACGGAGCCGGGTGACTACCGTGTCGAGGTTAAGTGGGCCGGGGAACATGTCCCTGGTTCTCCGTTCGTAGTCATGATCTTCGATACTCAAGAAGAGCTCAATAGGTTTCTCTCTGTGAGTTTTAATTCTGGATCAAATATTACCATTATACATTCACCCATACAAGAATCTTGCAAAAGTCTTCTTAACTGGAACCCCCTTCTTTCTTATGTCGTAGTAACATTTTACTTTCTCCCCCTATACTACTTGTATATAGAGAAAGTATGGTAGGCTATTGTTTTTGTAAAAATTTTCGAGTTTGAGTTTTGAGTGGATATATCGGTTTTGAGTCCCCCTGAATCACTAGTCGTGACTAATGAAACATCTGGTCTTAGTAACAAAGCTACAGTTGACACCACACTCCATCCTACTAATATCCTTCATTCATATTTGGATTAAAATATGCACATAGGTGGTGTCTCAAACTCAAATTATATTGATAATGAATGATAGTAAATTGAAGCTAAACCTAAAATGTTTTTTTGTTTCAGGGAAGTCAATCTCCAGGGTCTGACCTGTATGGGAGTGTCGCCTACAGTACGGGCTACGCTCACATAACTCCATAGTTTGTGCCATCACCGACCTTCATATGCTGCTTCACAAGATGCATCTACCAAATAGTTCAAAACATAAAAGATTAAAGTTTTCAAAGTTGAGTAGGCCTATATCTGTACCTAGCCAATCTTCTACTTTTGGGAAATTTATGATTTAAATTCTGTTTAATTGATTTTGTGAGATATAATGCCATTTTTCAAAATTGGCTTGTGAGTAAAATTTAAACACAATATATGTTTGCCGTATAAGTGCAGCCTTTTCATTCACAACTCATCAATTTTATTTTATTTGTGTTTTAAGTGTTTAAAACATTTTTTAGCCAAGCTTTAAACATTCCAATATTTTATAGATGGTAAAATACAGGAAAATGTTACTGACTGAGCAGAGTTTCTAGTAAGTTGATTTTTTAGAGTTTTAACGTTGTTGTAAATTTAGATTTAAATGTGCGTTTCGTTTGCATGCCATGTTGAAATTCTGTTTATTTTATTGTGTACTTTGTTACTGTATTGCCATGAAATATTTTGCTAACAGTATTATTGTAAACTCATTTGTTTTGTTCTTTAATCATTGTAAATTATCATAGATATTCTGTAATATTGTAAATAGTACTATGACAATCCTAAAATAAACATAGCTACTCAAGTGGGCACTTACGGATATGCTAGGCATACCTATGCTTTTACAGTTTACTTTGCTGGTAACACTAATTATAATATTTTGTTTATGCAGGCTTGAAACTTATCAACATAGTATATTTTCTAGCATTTATTTTTAAAATAATTCAAATGTTCTGAGAGCCATACTCTAAATCATTCGTGCTCACCAATATAAGGTTTTTTTTCAGTTTTAACTTTGAAATCATTACACTTTTTAGTTAGTTAAAACTTTTTTTAGGTCATGTTTAAAATATAAAGAAACTCTTGTGTCAATTTTGTTTATAAAAAATATATAGGTAGTTGAGGTCAATTCAATTAATTAATAAAGTGTGTAAATACAGTAAATATTTATTTTTAACATAACTAATTACACATGTAAAAGTGTTTTGTATTGATCACTATAGTTTTATTAAACCTTATTAGTTGTGAAAAAGTGTTATTTTCCCTCACTAACCACTTAAACCTAAACATCACAGCTCCTACGCATTTCTTATCTACAACCAATTGTGTCAGTTGTGCCTACAAAGCTTTTTGTCCTGTGCAAGTATCGCTTGGTGTAATTGTGTGCTTATAGTTTATCCTGAGACCCTCGAGATACAATGGTCTCATCCCATGTGTACATGTACCCTAAATCTGTGGATTCATATCTATTAGTATGAACAATTTATTGGGCAGCACAAATTAACCAACTACCTGGTGTAACAATGATTCAAATATAGACCCACTCATAGTTATACTGTAATACCCGAAACCCAAATCTGCTTAATTATCCAATTCATAAACACTCTCATTTTGAAAAAAAAAACCAATCTATATGGGGTTCCAAATTATCTGTTGTCATAAATTTAAAAAAATAATAGTGCTGCACCCGTTGGTAATCCTTGTAACTTTAATGCTATTGAACATCATAGAACAGAACCAACGATTCATTAATTCCTTTTAAATATGAAAAATCATAAGGTTAACATGGGAAACTCCAGAGCCACTGGGGGGGAGCCCGAAAGCCCGATCAGAATAAAAACTACTTAGTTTTCCTATTTAATGCCTATGCCTATGTTTTCCTTTAATGCTATTTAAAGAATCGGTGTACAGCTCGTGACATCTAAGCTGGCACTTGGCCTATCGCTACTAGTACTTATTTCAAAAACATTATGTCCCGCCATGCGGGTTGCATCAACTGTCCTCGCGACCCATATGAAGGCGCTCAAGTACAATGCAAGGGGAGTCAACCCCGTGAGGCAGCGGAAATGTTTGCAGTCCGGTCTTTTGCCTACCTCCACCCTCCTCCCGCCTACACTGCTCGCGCTAGGCCAAGTGCCAGCTTAGGTGTCACGAGCTGTACCGAATTTCAGCCTCCTAAGTATAAATGGGAAGTGGGAGAATTAGTGAGTCAGTGAGGGCTTTGATTTTTATATATTTAGATGGCACAGAATGTTTTTTAATTGTTTTTAGCGAATTTCCCTATAGGGAAGTAGCTATTACCTTCTCATGGTAAGATCTAGGCCCGGGACCGATTTACTTTTTCATTTTGATGTCCCCAGAGGCCAAAAACACCATTTGTTCAAATCTTTATATATCTATATATAGAGATAATCTGTGTTTATATATATATTAATAAATGATATTAAAATTATGGTCAGTTTCAAAAATTTTGCCCTTAGGGGTAGTGGGGGTAGGGGGTAGCTCAAAATTTTTAAATAGCAATTAAGTATAGTCGAATTTGGTATCATTTTACAGGTCTTGACAAAACATAACAATTATCAAGAAAATGGAATTTGAACCATTAATAACAAAATGGCAGTTCAAAATTAATTTTAATAACCATTGTCTTAATCATTTTTAGCTGCCATTTTGTTATTATAACAGAAACGGTATGGATCATAAATATAATCAAATGACGACACTAGCTTGAGGTCCGTGACGTAGGAAGTGGTGAAGGAAGTAGTAAAGGTGAGCAGTCTGAAGTGTGGAAGTGTTTATGAGGATTAGATTTAAGTATCTGCAATCCTAAAATTCTATGGGAAGGGAGGAAAACAGGTCCGCGACATAGGAAGTGGTGAAGGAAGTAGTCAAGGCGAGCTGTCCGGAGTTTGGGAACTGTTTATGACGATTAGATTAAGGTATCTGCAATCCTAAAATGCTATTAGAAGGGAAGGAAACATGTCCACAACGTAGGAATTGGTGAAGGAAGTAGTCAAGGTGAGCTGTTCGGGTTATGGGAACTGTTTATGACGATTAGATTAAGGTATTTGCAATCCTATGATGCTATGGGAAGGGAGGGAAACATCAGGCCCGTGACGTAGTAAGTGGTGGATGGAGTAGTAAAGGTAAGCAGTCCGGACTGTGAGAACTGTTTGTGACGATTAGATTAAGGTATCTGCAATCCTAAAATTCTATGGGAAGGGAGGAAAACAGGTCCGCGACGGAGGAAGTGGTAAAGGAAGTAGTCAAGGCGAGCTGTCCGGGGTGTGGAAACTGTCTATGCCGATTGGATTAAGGTATCTACAATCCTAAAATGCTATGGGAAGGGAGGAAAACATTGAAATTCCTTGATTTAGTTGCGTTTAAAAAAACCTTGTTTACTGGGCTAAGATGACAGTAGCAAATTCAACCAAACTACCTTATTACCTTGTTTCCTTATTTTTACCCCTTAAAAGATAGATAAGAAAATGAGTGTCAAAAGGAAATTTGAAATAATCAAGAACTTTGTAGCTGTATGGTAAAAGAGAAAACTAATGAAGAAAAAACATAGCATCAGTTCAGTCCATCCATGGTTCAGTCCAGTCCACCAGTCCTCCAGACAGTCCAGACTAGACTGACTGCTATCACTAGTTTTCCACTCACTCCACTCCCCAAACCAAACCCTCTTTGTAAAATGTTTGTTGTTTGTTGTTGATGTTGGTGTAGTATTTATTTATTGTTATTAGTGTCAGTGTGGCCTTATACCCTCACTAAATAAATATACTTAGTATAGGCCCTAATGTGGTCAATAATCATACCAATATTATTAATTTAAATGTTAGAAAATTAAATAAACTGTTTAAAAAAAATCAAGGTAAGTGTAAGTTTACCAACACTTTTAGGTTAGGCCTAGGTGAGTACATTTCCCTAGATACCGTACGGGTAGGCCTAATACAGTACTGAACTTGTACTACTTAATAAGTCTTAATAGTCGCATAAGAATACCATGAACCTAGAAGTATGGATTCCTTAAAACCACTAGTTGCTTACAACGCTACCTATTTATACATTCGTGAACCAGTCTTTGTCCTGTTCATTTTTGTCATTATAAGTTAGTTCATATTTTTTGCTACCGGTACTGAAACTCTGCTTATCCATCTCAAGACAAGGTGTGAGACAATGTGTCAGTGTCTTGTATTCTCTACACGTGACGTGTCAATATTCGTGATACAATATGTCGCGATACAGAGCCATTGACTCAGCAAATCTGAATTTTCTAGAGCGTAGCTTATTGGGAGCGTATTTTGAACAAACTATAAAATTTAGAAAAGCCAAAGTAATTAATAGGCCTATAGGTTAACACAATTATCCATGGTGTATTTTGCAGGTTTCTACAGGTAAACTAAGGGGCTCTTGTTTACTGCAGTAGTTACTTGTACTTGTACTGTTGAACAAACAGATGATAGGTTATATTACATTGTTTGCCTTATCTACCAAAACTAGTCTATTTTAAGCACTTTTTACCTTTGGCACTTTTGGGGTAACAACTAGGCTATTTCACCCTGAAAATTACGTTTGAACATTGCGAAAAGCGCTAGAAATCAATGATTTTGGGACTTGAACATTTCCTTTTTACGTGTTTTTCTTATTATTTAAGTTAGTCTTTATTATCTTATTAGTTATCGTTTTACTGTATAGGTTTTACTGTATAACTAAAACATAACCTCTCTAGTGATTTGTTGTCCTTTAGTTGGTGGTAATGTATAAGGATTTGTACAGATTTAGTAGTATGGCCTAAACTATAGTACGTAACTCGGCCAGTAAACACGTATTTTCAGGACTATTAACGTAATATACTATTTCAACATTGATTACAATATGGAACCTTTTATCAATCAAGAGTACGCTGATTTATACACTTTGTATATGTTTACTGTTCCGGCAATTCCGGGGAGCGAGCTGGCGTAGTGGTTAGAGCGCGGGGCTTCAGTCCCTGAGGTCCCGGGTTCGATCCCCGCCAAGTCACCAATGGATTTTATCCAAGTGATAATGCCACAACCCCTAGGGCTAGCCTGATGCAATGTGAAAAACAATCCCAGGCTCGTGCCTAGCGTCCTAGGAAAAAAAAAACTGTTCCGGCAATGCGGCAGAAAGCCGTCGTGACTATAGTAGACGTTTTCCTAAAATACGATTACCCAATGGAAAAACTTTTATTCGTGTTCAATGTTCATCGATGTTAAGCAAATTTACATTGACTGTTAATA